GGTAGTATAAGGAGATTAAATAAACCTAGTAGTATTAAATAGACTTATTAAATAAAGCTAGTAGCTATATTAAATAAACCTAGTAGTATTAAATAGACCTAGGAAGTATTACCTTATATTATAAATTAGTTATATTTAGTTAAGGTAAATAAGGCAGGGCCTAGTAAGGTTAAATAAGGGTAAGGTAAAAGGGAGATTAGCTAATAAGGCATAGCTGTATTAAATAAATTATAAGTAGGTATATAGTTATACTGCTATATATATTAGCTACCTTATTATAGCTTATATATATATCAGCTACCTTATTATAGCTATAGTAAAAACACACTAAGGTAGCTATTTATTAAATAAATATAATATAATAAAGGGCCTAGGCATAGGCTAAGGGTAGAGAAAGGGGAGAGGAGGGTTAAAGAGGATAGAGATTTATAAAGAGGAGTAGTATATAAATAGGTAAATAGTATAGCTACTTATTATATAATAATATAAAAAGTAAAGGGATAAATAGATAAATAAAGGGAAAGATAAAATAAAGAGAGGGAGAATAAAGATAAATAAACTAAAAGAAGAGCTAGCTACTATTATATAATATAAAAGGTAATACTATATATAATAATAATATATATATAATATATAATATATAGAAAAAAAAGGTAAAGGGTTAGATAAAAAAGGGAAAGATTAAGTAAAAAGAGAGAATAAAAAAAGACTACTTTATAACCTGCTTATATTTTATTATATATATAGCTTTTCCTTTTATACCTTTTATACTACTTACTATACTATTTATCTCTCTCTCTCTTTTTTTTTTTTTTTTTCTTTCCTTCCTTTACCTTACTTAGCCTTATATAGCTTCTCCCTCTTTTATACTTTTCCTTCCTTATACCTTTTCCTTCCTTATTATACCTTTTCCTTCCTTATACCTAGGTACTTACTTACTTACTTATACTACTATTACTTACTTACTAACTTACTTATATATACTTATATACACTTACTTACTTATACTTACCTTATCTATACTATATATTACTTACTATCCTATCTAACCCTCTCTTTCCTATGCCTTAGCCTTATATAGCTTTCCCTTCTTTAATACTTTCCCTTCCTTCTTAATACCTACCTACTTACTTACTTACTTACTTACTTACTTACTTACCTCTTACTTACTTACTTACTTATATACACTACTATATACTACTTACTATTACTACTATACTTACTATACTTACTACCCTTACTATACTTACTTACTTACTTACTACCTATACTTACACTTATATTATACTACTTACTATACTACTATAGCCTTACGCCCCCCTCCTCTCTCTCCCTTTTCTTGCTTTTCATATATTATACTTATAAGGGCATAGCCTTCCTTACCTGCTGTTATAGTATATAGGGTAGGTGGTAGGTGGTTATATATATATACTTATATAGTATTAGTATATAAGGTTAGGGTTTCTGTTTTTAAGGTCTTAGGGTTTTGCTGTAAGGGCGCGCCCTGGTTATTTTTATTAAGCTGTAGCGCATTAAGCCATGGCCCCTGTCTATATAAGCTGGCGTATGGCGCATAGGCCTGCGGGCCTGCTTCTTTTTATCGAGCTGTGGCATGACTTGACGCGGATTAGACAGGTAGGCTGGCAGGTGCTTTATTATTTTAAGAAAGGCAAACTCTTAGGCAATTAAAGGCACAGCCTGTTTATAAAGCTAACATAAGAACATCTCTATACTACCCTTATAATATAATACCCTAGCTATTTACTAAGCTTAAGCGCTGCTTAAGCAGGTATATATACCTAGATTAATATCCCGCAGTTTAGTAAACATATAACATCCTCTATTAGGACTATGCATAATGCTTAGTTCAGGACAACTCCACAGCTAGCAGGGTCAGCATCACAAGTGCAGGCGCTTGGAGCGTTAACCCAACCAGTCAATCTGTTAGCAACGTCACTGGCATAGCAGTGAGTAGCAATGTTGCTTTCGAGGTTGCCAGTGCTGGAAATAGAGCCCGAGTTGTAGATTCGAGCACCACGGTAGAAGGCTGAGACGTCGCTGGTTCCAGCCTGGTTAATAGTGTTGGCCAGACCATCGCCAGTGGGAGTTCCAGCAACGCCTTCCAGAATCATCTGCGCAATAGTGGCAGACGGGCAAGGGTTCTGGACAACGCCTCCCTCGTTGCAGGTTGCAAGACCGTCATGATCTTGGAGCAGACCCGGGTTGCGAACGCCGAAATTGGTAGTCCCAACACGCACGCAGCCCTTGGACTCTTGCATAAGAACAGCAAGGATAAAACGGTGGTCCACACCACTGGCTGCAGCAGCGGCCTCAATACCGTCGTGGATGGCCTGGACCTCATCCTCGCTGGTGTTGGCTTCACCTCCTAGATTGGTGCAAGAGGAGAGCATGGTGGCCTTGTTGGAGGCGAACATGTCGTCGAAAGAGACCCAGCTGCTCTGGTCGGGCCAGCCGGCCCCAACGCTGCCGTCACCGAGATAAAGAGTGTAGGAGTCGGCTCCAGCACCCACACCATCTGCACCGTTTGAGTTATCGAAGCGGGCAAGGGCGCTGGTGACAATCTCGCCAACGGCTCGCTTGGAAACGGCTCTGGACACAGAGTTCTTGCTGCTGCCAGTAGGCCCGGCGATAGCAGCACCAAAGAGAAGAGAAGCGACAATAGCCTTGTTAACCATTTTGACGGATTGGGTGGAGTTATTCTTAGTTGGTTGCTGAAGAAGCTGAGACGTAATAATGAAAAGAGTAAAGGAGCGTAAGTAGATCGAGTCACCAGGACTATAGATCGAAGTGTTAAGAAGAGAAAGAATTGTAAAGGAGTGGATTTGATGGATTGAGCTGATAGACAATATTTGATTCAAGACCGAACCGGTGCCTATTATATACCTATTGTAATACTGCGAAGAGCGGTTGGGACAGACTGCAGGAATACCGGCAGCTTCCTATTAGAGCATGTCAGTGGTCTTGAAACACGGTCCCTCCGATTTCAGGTTGAGGTACACGGTGGACGGGTTCAAAGTTCCTCAAACCAAGATAAATGGACCAGTCAGACTGGAATCTCTCTTCCAATTCTCATGTTGTTTCATATAACCTCTGTGCTTGAGGTTGTCGGAGATGCGAATATTCCCCAGGAGCTTAATTCCGAGCAATTACTACACAATCCGTACCTATATGCAATTCTATAGTTGTAGTATATTGCTTTTATCAGATAATGCTACAGGGAGCTATTTCTGGCAAATTACCCTTTATCTAAGATCACTCTATATTCTCCCATATGTCTTTCAAAATCGTAACAGTATATTAATCACATCTTGTCTACTAATTACTAAACAAGAATAGAAACAGAACCAGCTTAGAGTGGCACTGGCCTCTTAGAACTTAATCACAGAGACCCAAATATTAACGCCAACTTAACGTGGCTTAGTAAAGAATCTAAAGTACCTTGGATGGAGAGAAATTGTATGCGAATCGAAAGATATTATAGAAAGAAATCAACTCTCTCTAGTATTGCGGGATATTTCCTGTCTGTGTGCCGTTTGGGAAATGTCTGTGTGCGTTTAGGAACTCGTGCGTGCATTGAGAGATTACCAACCGCGATGACGGGGGCTGTTTATCCGCATTGTAAGACTTGCAATTGCCTCTATTAGCCTAGCTCGGTTAGTAGATGCCGAACTTTCAGTGTGAACACAGTTTCCGGAAATAGAGGAAGCTCGAGCAACCATGAAAGAGGTCTTCGCATCCCTCCCTACCCGTCACCTCTATTACTCCGCTTCTGCAGATCACAGACTTCTGAATCCTCCACTGGTGGGTCTTTGGGGTTTATTGCGCTACCCCTTGTTTGTATCCTGGCATCTGGGACATGTGGAAATCTGTTGATTATCTTCGTCTGCAGCACTAGATCACGTTTACAGATAAGACAATCATCTGAATCTAGCAGGTGATAATGCTTGGGTCGAAACTGCACAGAGAGTTTTCAGCAGGTTATAGAATCCTTTGATCCCGCTCGTGCCTACGCAGGTATAAATCTGCTTCATCTTGTGAAACTACTCAACATCGGTATGACTAACATATATGCGTTAAAGGCTCTCACAAACGTTCGACTTCCTATTATTAGACTAGAAGAACACAATGTTTTGCTCAACACTCCATCCGAGCTTTTGCAGTCCAGCCGAGACGCTTGCTTCCATAGCTGGGGGACCACAGACTAACGCCAGCGTATCCCCAAGGTCTGTGCCAATCTGGACAGAAGGCGGTGGCGGAAGGTGTTGTTGGAGACACTCCAAGTCAATATGTCCGCGTCCCATCCTCCAGTCTGCACCGAGTTGGTCAGAGCTCAGAACATACCATATATGCAGCTTTCCGTTCATACAGCGTGAGATATGATCCAGTTCGTCACGAATTAGTATATCACTCTCCTGTCTGTTACCATAGATGAGCCATACTTCGACCGAGTTGCCCTGTCTGGACGATGACTCGTCTGAAATAGCCTTCAACGTGGACCATATAGGGGTAATACCGCTGCCACCAGCGATCATGGCCAACCTTCTGACAGTGCGGAGTCGGTTGTTCGACCTCCACTGAATCTGACCATTGCCGGCATAGGTGAAATATCCAACAGGTCCTTTCAGCTCCAGTGTCGTCTCATCCGAATTTCCGTCGATCGCCATGTTCTCCAGCAGCATGGTCAGTTGGCCTCCATTAAAAGTAGCGCTGCCATGCGATGACTTGTCTGACGGGAAATACACTTTGATCAGAAGATCGATAAACCCGCGCTGGGTGCTGCAGCTATACGGAGTATACGCTCGCTGCACGATTTGAACTTTTCCGCTTGCTTTGTCGGTTTTCTTGATTCGTAGATAAATGTGCTGTCCTACTGGCAAGCCCAGAAGTTGCTCTTCGTTTGGCAAGGCGAGACGGAATATTCGTGAATCATGGGAGATTGTTCTCTTCTGGACCAGTTGGACTTTCTTCCATACCTTCGGCTCGAGAAATGGCTTCGATGGATCATCCAGATTCTCAGCTCTTGCTATTGGAGGTATCGGCGGTGCTGTGGGATGCTCCAACACTCCTATATGGTAATCTCTCAACATCTTCTTTGCATCTACTGAGTGAATAGCCATAAAATCTTCAGTGGCATCCTCACCAGCAGCCAGGCGAATGGACTGTTCTCCACCAGGGTGGGTTAAAAGGAAGGGCGTTCCATCATACACATGTCCTTCGACGACAAACCACGGAGACGGTCCCTCTCCGTCGGCATGCTCCGCGAGCTGAGACGCTGTAATGACTGTTGATGCTTTGTCTGGATTGACCATCATGCTTTTACTGTCCTCGCTGGGTAGGTTTCCTCGTGGTCCATGTGTATCTGTTGTGATAGCAGCGGATGAAGCGTTGTTCTCTCCGAAATTTGGGAATCTCGGATCCGCTCCGGCTTCCTTCATACGCTGCATCCAGCCACCGCCCGCGTTGCCTGGCACAGTTGGATGTTCGAATCGAAGGGTCTGTCCAGAGTTTTCCCTGTAGACAGCAACACGAAACCACCAAGAGTTCATCATGGAGGTGGCGTTCCAGTACATGTCCCGCGGCATGATGCTCAGAGCTTCATCCATTGCCCGCACCGCGACGAACCCGGCATCCCCATCTCCTAGCAGGGATTTGACATCAACGTCCACCTTCCAGAAACACCAAGAAAAGCTCATATCAGTCGTGCTTAAGTCGATGTTACCAAAGTAGGGGTGGTCGTGGATTGGATACATTCGGTAAAGGTCCTCTGGGTACCTTATATCACAGAGCTTCCAAGATTTGCCATCGTCAAGGGTGATATCAACGCGAGTAATACGTCGACCTCCACCGGTGTAGGCATATCCTTCAATGGCTACCTCTTGTGTGGTGGATGTTTCAGGAGCCAGTTGAAGTATCTCTTCGTGAGCAGGTGAGCAAATTGCCGCGTTCACGTTGAGCTCATTGATGATGTATTTGGGATCGTACCACCATTTATCTTCGCTTCTGGCCTGGTCGGCCGTTACCATGGTGGGTAAAAGCTTGTTATCGAAGAAGTGTAAATAATGCTGACTCTCGCGATCCGAGACCTCGATCCGTTGAAGCCACTTCACCATACGTCCACCGATCTGGCCTGGCACAACCAATCGCAGAGGATAACCGTGGTCGGGAGAAAGATCTTCACCATTGAGACCCCAAGAGATCAGCATGCCCTTGCTGCGGTCCAATGCCCAGCTGAGCCTCTGTGATGTACCATATTTGCCCTTGGGTAACTCATCCGCACCCTCAAAAACAACGTGGCGCGCACGTCCAGTAACAGGTTTGTCATAAGAGGGATATGCGGAGAGAAGGGGATGTTTGGGCTTGCAGTAGTCGAGGATGTCAGCCAGGTAGACGCCAGTAAACAGACCGGTTGATACACCTGCTGCACCCCAATTGAACCCAAGTCCCTTGACCACCATATTCTGCTCCTTTCGACGGTTGCCAGCGCAGACAAGAGTGACAGGGAGCGTGACAACCGGGAACCTCTCCTTCAGCTCCTGAATAGAGAATTCGAACTCGTTTTCGACAAGCCCATGGACTCGGAGTTTCCATTCCTGCGCTTGTTTTGGGCTGAACCTCGGTGTATCCCCATGACTGCGCACATAAAATAGATTTTGAGGTGTCAGGAATCCGGCTCTGAACAGGGCGGACAAGGGGGCCTCGACATTGCACGGATGTTTCCCCGTGAGTCGGATCATCCGGCTATCTCGTGCAACCCAGTTGTCTGGAGTTTGGGCGTCGGAAGCTAACGGCTGTATGGCCTCAGCCTTCGGGATAGGAGGAAGCGAAGTAAAGTCGTAACTCAAAGTAGCATCCAAGATAGCCTCTTGGAAATCTGGATCCGTTTCTGGTTTGGCTGCTAAGCATGGGCTACATGATACTGGCGTTGTCGGAGACGACGACTCGGGCGACGGTCCAGGTGACGATGGAATCGAAGAAGACCATTCCTCTCCACTCCCAAACTGGGAGTCTGAATCCAGCTGGTTTGTTGCCATAACGAATATCTTGTATAGGCAAGGCAGTAGAGGATGCCCAACGAGAGACAACAAAAAAATGACTCTGTCTAGTCGGCAAGGCGTGACTATAGCGTGCGAGAAGAAGTGACTACCAGAATGCTCTTGCTAACCATCGGGAATTCTTCCTTGGGGTTTTTGGAAGACAACTTGAACGGGAAGAAGTACTTGGAATTGAATGACCATCTCCGGAGATGCTATAACGTGCCATTCATTCCATACTGCATGGCAGATTTTGAGTCGCAAAACACCGAGTTACCGCATAGTCCGTATTCCGCTGCACAGTACCGTTTGGGTTGACATTTGAGATCTATAATACGCGATTCGCTGCACGATATCCGCTCCAACATCGAGGCTAAGGTCGCCCCCGGGATTCCTACCACTATACCGGCCCACATCAGGAGCCAATTGACGTCCAGCGATAACGTCTCAGCAAATGGCTTGCTTATTCCCCCGAGTTCCTCATTCGTCTTTGCTGTAAAAACCAACCTGGTCCGATAAAGCAATGGGAGTTTGTGTTTGCTAGGTATACAGGGTCCTTGGTGCTCTTTGCCTAAATCGCTATCTCGAGTGAGCTTCTCCGCGGATGAGCGATTGCGCCTACTGATGTAGTTGATATGCCCAAGTGTAATAGAATCTCACCTTACGACAAACGCATGGACAAACGCATATCGTGTTCTGACCGAGGAGAAAGAAAATATGAATGTCCGTCATGAAGACTAGGGCCGTCAGTTATCTTGGAACCTGCTTATACTATCTATCACTTACACGCTGCAGAGTACGTCGTATGACGATTGCGAATCTTGAGTCTCAGCAATGACTCATTTCCACTGACGGAACACGCATCCCGTAGCATATATCCATCCTAGCACATGTCCCCCAAAGCGGCAGATATGGCACTGAACTCATACTTTTGGGTTCTCCGAGGAGCTGGGAGATGGGAAAATGCCATTTCATGCTTCCCAGACAGGCGCGAGCTCGACTGTCGTATGCAATTCCTCGGAGCGTCGATGTTTCCTATGTTACCCCCACCCTATAGGGGTGCTGGCTGTTTTGTGCTGAAGAAGAATGAGGTGTTGTTTTCACGCCTCTCGATAAAACTAGGCAATTGACCGGGATCGCAGCAGCCATGAGTTCATGAGCATTCTCATGTTCTTGGTTGCCTCCAAACTCAAAGCACAAGATGAACGGAGTAGCTGGCGATATGCAATCATGGTCAGAGAACCGTCAGCCGCGGTCTAGGAAGCGCGTCGCTGTTGTTGGCTTTGGCATGGTTGGTATTGCCTTTATTGAGAAGCTTCTGAAGTACGACCTGGACAGTGGCCGCGATGAGTGGGAAGTGACCGTTTTTGGCGAGGAGCCGTATGTCGCATACAACCGCGTTGGCCTCACGCAGTACTTTACAAATCGTTCCACCGAGGAGCTTTACCTCAACCCGCTGGAATGGTATTCGTCACATACAGAGGGAAAACTTACATATCATACATCCGATCCTGTCATTTCAGTCGATGCGCAAGCCAAATCTCTCACAACAGCCAATGGACGAGATTTCCACTATGATGAGTGCGTCCTCGCCACCGGCTCCGACGCTGCCTTGCCGCCCTACGTCTCTCACAAGCAATTCGAAAGCATCAGAGGTTGCTTCGTATACAGAACAATAAAGGATCTCGACAATATCATCGATTATGCCGCCAATGCCCCCAGCTTTCTTGGGCATCGCATTCGCAAAGCAGCTGTTATCGGTGGCGGTCTTCTCGGCTTAGAGGCAGCCAAGGCTCTACTGGATCTCGAAGATGTTGACCAAGTTGTCCTGGTGGAGAGAAACCGATGGGTCCTTAGTCGCCAACTTGACCAGGAGGGCGGCACGTTGGTCCTGGAAAAGGTCAGGGCTCTGGGCGTTGAGGTTCTGCTACAGGCCCGAGTCCGAAACCTTGTATGGAATCACGAAAAGCGACTCACAGGCTTACTCCTTGAGGGCAAGGATGGACTGCCGGATCAAGGATATGACGTTGACATTGTCGTGTTTGCTGTTGGAATCAAGCCTCGAGATGATCTTTCCAAACACGCCCAGATAGCTGTGGCCAACCCGACTGGCGGCTTCATCGTCGACAACCAGCTTCGCACAAACTTACCTCATGTATACGCTATCGGAGAATGTGCCAATTTCCTCGGAGAAACATTTGGTCTCATCGCTCCTGGCGTGGAGATGGCTGACGTCCTCGCCTTCAACTTGACCGAGGGTCCCTACCACAGCAAGAGAGAGATGAAATCCCCCAACATCAGCACCAAGCTCAAATTAATGGGCGTGGATGTCGCCTCATTCGGTGATTTCTTTGCGGATCAGGGAAAAGTCACCAAACCATTGCCAGGAACGACCAGTGCCCATGCGGCCCGGAGGGCTCAGGCAATGCCCCTGACGCCGGAGGACATCAAGAAAAAGGTCAAAGCCCTCACTTATCGGGACCCATTTTCGGATGTGTACAAGAAGTACATCTTCACGGCAGACGGGAAATACATTTTGGGCGGCATGATGGTCGGCGACGTCAAAGATTATGTGAAGCTCGTGGCCCTGTGGAATACAGGCAAACCCATCGAGAAGCCGCCGTCTGAATTCATCATTGGAGCTACAAAAGATGGGGAGGAGGAGGGTGACGATTTACCTCATGATGCTCAAGTCTGCAGCTGCCACAACGTTAGCAAAGGCGACATCGTGGAGTGTGTAAACACTGACGGCATTCGTTCTTTTGGAGAGATGAAGACTTCAACAAAGTGCGGCATGGGATGTGGAGGCTGTGTGCCCTTGGCGACTAGCATCTTCAACAGAGCGCTTCAGGACGCCGGTGTTGAAATCTCTAACCACATCTGCAAGGATTTTGCCTATTCTCGCCAGGATCTTTACCAGATTACCAAGTTCAGAAAACTCAAGGACTTCATGACAGTGATGCGTGCTGTCGGAAAGAGACCTGACAGTCTTGGCTGTGAAATTTGTAGGCCAGCCGTCGGATCTATTCTGAGTTCGTTGTACAACGAAAACATCATGGAACCTTCCCTTCGCCAGACGCAAGACACAAATGATCGCTATCTCGCCAATGTGCAGCGTGACGGCACATATTCGGTTGTTCCGCGACTACCTGCTGGCGAAATCACGCCAAAGGGGCTCAAAGTCATTGGAGAGGTCGCAGACAAGTTCGGGCTATACACCAAGATCACTGGTGGCCAGCGTATCGACATGTTCGGCGCCAAGAAACAGGACCTCCCGCGAATCTGGGAGCTGCTCATTGATGCTGGCTTTGAGAGTGGCCATGCCTATGGTAAGGCGCTGCGCACGGTCAAGTCTTGTGTCGGGAACACCTGGTGCCGCTATGGCGTGGGCGACTCAGTTGGTCTCGCCGTTGAACTCGAGAATCGCTACAAGGGATTACGCGCTCCCCACAAGTTCAAGGGCGGTGTATCTGGATGCGTTAGGGAATGTGCTGAAGCACAGGGTAAGGACTTCGGTCTCATCGCCACGCCCAAAGGTTGGAATGTCTTTGTGGGTGGAAACGGCGGCGCAAAACCTCGCCACGCTGAACTGCTCGTCGAGGACGTGACCCGACGTGAAGCGATCAGGATCTTGGATCGGTTTCTCATATTCTACATTCAGTCAGCAGACAAGCTTGAGAGAACGGCTCGCTGGATCGAGAAATACCCCGGCGGTCTCAAGGGCATCAAAGAAGTCATCGTTGACGACAAGCTTGGCATATGCGCGGACCTGGAAAGGGAGATGGAGGTACTCGTTGGCCTCTATCACTGCGAGTGGACAAATGTTGTCAACAACCCCGAGCGGCGCAAGGCTTTCAAGCAATTTGCCAATACAGACGAGACGCAAACAGTATCCGAGCAAGTCACGGAGCGTGCTCAGAAACGTCCTGTTGACTGGCCTGAGGACAACTCCCCTCTGCACTTCAATTTGCGAGACATTGCAAAAGATGCAAGGTGGGACTGGCAAGTCATCTGCAAACTTTCAGAGTTGAACCGCCAGATTGATGCACCAACATCTGTCGCCGTCAAGTATGGAGAAGTTCAGCTAGCTGTGTGGAATATTCCAGGTCGAGGCTTGCGCGCATCACAGAACATGTGTCCTCACAAAAAAGCGTTTGTGTTGGCAGACGGCCTGATAGGTGAAGATGAGCAGGGACAGGAGTACGTCTCCTGTCCGCTACACAAGAGAAACTACTTGCTGAAACCCAAAGCGACTGAAGGGGGCGGGAGCTGCTCAGACACCAACTACTCCATCATGACATTCGAGGTTAAGGCAGATGAGCAGAATGATGCAATACTCGTCTATCTTCCTCCGACAGAAGCACTTGATGCTGTGCTTTCAACAACGAAATGGATGTTGCGAAAGGCAGATGAAGAGGTGAAAGCCATAGTTAAGGATGCGGAGGCATCAATTGAGATTGCAGAGCCTATACTCCCTGGTAAGATGAGAGACCAGTTGACACGTGCAAACCCCTTGCAAACCTGTGGCGGCAGCGGTGCGCTTGACTGGTAGACATAGTACATAGTCTTTCAAAACTGTTGCCTCTCTGTTGCCTCTATTCTCTGAGGAACATAACTTCTACCTTCCCCCGTAGTGGTCAGTTTCAAGCTCACGGAGTGCACATATACCGTGATGCTTATATTGGTGGTTAAAGTCATCCTGCTGCACGTTGCATCGAACAATCCGACATACGAAGTAATCACTGCTATAGCCACCATCGATAACTGACTTACACGCTTACACCCTCGGAAAAGAGCCAGCCATAGATGTCAACATCTGTTGGCATCACCTACCCGTTTTTATCTCTGGTTCCAGTAGACCAGGATCGTCTATCAGTAGGTACCAACAGTCCGGCACCCACTACCCACGACTTAGCTCTACTCTCTAACCTGGCGTTATTTTCTTACTCCGGCTCATCGCTGGCCTATTAAATTAGTCCGTCTTATCAGCAATCCTGCTACGCCTACTTCGTACTCTTTCACCCCTTCCTTGCGCTGTTGGTCCTGGAAACGCCCCCGAAATGTCTGCATAGTCGATCTCCATCGTGGTGCCAACTATCCAATCCAGGAGAGAATCGGAGATTATGCAGCCACGTAGATGCCAGGGTGAGAATTATCCCGCCCTAGTAGAGATACTGATATCTCACCCCAAGGCGGTACTTGAGAGTTGAGTTTGGATTTTGCATCTCCGGTTTTGTTGTCTTCGTATCAACTCCAGCGATAAGCCTACATGTATGGCCTTGAGCTGTTATCTGTCCGTCAATGGTGCCTCACTTGAGTGCTCTCTGAATGACACAATATCCAACCATGAGTCCTAGCATCCGATTATAATAGAACAATCAGCGTACTTAGAAGACTATGAAGGCGAAACAAAGCTGGATATATTTCGTACAATATCGACGCCCTCCTAGACCCTTCTTGGCGGTTGTCACCAGTCATACAGTTTCAACGGCCTCTCTATCGTTTTTATACTTGGTTAACCTTACAGATTATCAAAAGCGTGGGTTTCCTCACCATTCTTCTGAGTAGTAACCGTATTAACGTGTTCTATGTGATAGCTCGGTTGTTTGAAGCAACAGAAACACCAACTCGTTATACCCACCCGATATTCCGCATATACATTGGCTCGCACATCTAGCTTTCATAACATCACGTCATACGCAAGCGAAACAATGGCTAGCACTGCAGTAGGAGAAGAGGGAGACAATCCTTCGAGACCACCAACCTCTGGAACGCAAGAAGCCAAGTCACTTGAAATCTCAAAGGAGATTGTTGCTAGCGAATCACCATCCATCAGCAGTGGATCACATCAAACCACATACTTTATCCGGCATAACAACGGTTTCCGCACTAATGAGGCAAGTGAGAATGCGAAAGAATGGAATGTCAAGTCTACCCGCAACTCCGCATTCCGAATGTCTTCACTATGGCGGCCAGCCGAAGTTAACCCTCTGAATGGGAAAAGCTTCACCTTTCCGCTGTTTCGGATCTGGGATCTCTACTCCACAGCCTTCTGGCTTGCCACGCTAGGATTCTTCGTGGCCTTTTTCTCCTGGTTTGCGTTTTCTCCCCTTGTGCCTGAGGCGGTGAAAGCGGATCTCAACCTTACCCAGGACCAGGTCACCAACTCCAACCTAGCTTCTCTCGGCGGCACGGCGATCGTGCGTCTGATTGCTGGTCCCGCATGTGATAAATTCGGGCCTCGCAAAGTCCTGGCTGCCCTCCTCGTGCTCGGTGCCATTCCGTCAGGCCTGGCGGCACTGGTTACCAATATCCAAGGACTAGAGGCGGTGCGATTCTTCATCTCTATCCTTGGGGGCACCTTTGTTCCGACCCAAGCTTACACCACCACTTTTTTTGACAAGTCCATTGTTGGCACCGCCAACGCCTTTTCGGGTGGCTGGGGTAACCTGGGTGGTGGAGTGACTGTCGCCGTGATGATCGGCTTGTACCAACGATACGTCAAGGCGGGTTACAGCCCTCACCTCGCTTGGCGTCTATGCTTTGTCACGGTTCCTGTGCCATGCCTATTGCTCGTCGCCGTCATCATTCTGCTGTTTGGAAGAGACCACCCTGGCGGCAAATGGTCACAGCGCCACCAGGTGGGCAGCTTGGCCGTAGAGAAGGTCCCGGTTGGTGATCGGGAGGAAGCACGTCAACCACAGCACATGTTCGTGCATTCCGAACACGCCCCCGCTCAGGAACCCGCGAATTCCAAAACGTCAGATACGGAGCCCACCAAGGAGGAGCCTCCGTCCCCGGCTGCCGAAGTGGATACTGCACAGTCGGAGCCGCTGACCCTTGCGGCGCTGCTCAAGATCCTTGCCGACCTCCGCGTCTGGTCGTGTGCTTTATGCTATCTCCTCACCTTTGGCCTCGAAACAGCGATGGACGCGGCGCTCCCTGGGTTGATCAACACTCTATTTGCTAGCAAGTCGTTCACGATCACAGATGCAGCCTATGCAGCGTCCACCTACGGCCTCATGAACTTGTTCGCTCGGCCGCTGGGAGGGATAATGTCAGACCTTCTCTACGCCCGATTTGGGCTCCGTGCCAAAATGTACTGGCTCCTGACCACCGCTCTGTCTCAGGGGATCGCCATGATTGGCCTAGGGGTCTACATCAACAAAAATGACGCTACTATCGGCGGCGTAATCGGCTTCCTTGTTGCAATTGCAGTCACCGGGTTCGCAGCCAACGGCGCCTGTTATTCGATCTACGGCCACCTGCGCCCAAAAAATATTGGTGCTGTGGCCGGTATCGTTGGCGCTGGCGGCAACATTGGGGGTCTCCTTTACACCTTGATCTTCAAGTACCAGCCGGGAGTTCGTCTGCCGCCGTCGCCAAGCCACCCGCACGGGTACAATTCGCTTGGGAAAAAGTTCTGGATTGCAGGATTGTTCAATGCGGCGGCTGTATTGCCGCTTTTTCTTGTGCCGCTAGGTGATGCTGTGTAGCACAGCCGGGCGGGTGGTTCGTCGGTCTCGAAGAAAAGAATTTTGGCTATGCGGGAAACCGTTGTATCATGTTGATATTTCTAATGTGCCTCGATGAATGTTAGCAAAATATGAAATACATACCTTGTTTTCCAATCAACAGCGTGTGGATTGGTTCTGTTTGAAATCAAGGTAGGTATCATCCCAGTCCGGATAGCCTCCATGTCCCTTCGCATTTCGCGTTTCGGCTTTGCGATGGCAGTCTCGCCTGAGCCATATCGATCAAATCGATTGAAGAAGATAAACGCCTTGTGGGAAAGTAGAGTCACAAATATATATATGCATTCATTGTTGAGGCAGACTTATTGATACTATCTTCTTGTTTTGTCAAAATATGACCGCGAGTTGTCGTCCCATTCATACCCCATACTAAACAAGAGGTAGCCTTCCCCGTTACGCCCAGCATCACTCGTTCAATCTCTTCCTTGAGAAGCTTTTTTTTTTTTTTTCGGCCACTTTTCAGTATACAATGGTTAGCTATGTCTCTCATTCCCGAGATGTCAAGACTTCGCACGCTCGAACCGGAGATCGATGACCAGGTATCCGCAGCGCGACGGGACTCCAAACAAAGTTCTACACCAGAAGCCCAGTCCTCCCTGGACACAATAGAGAGGCCCGCCTTGCTTCATCGGTCTTTGGTTACTCATCCCCACGTCGTTTACCGTGCGAGTGGCAGCTATCTGCATTTAGCCGACGGTCGTTCTATACTCGATGCTTGCGGAGGAGCTGCCGTAGCTGTCATAGGTCACGGCAACCCCCAAGTTATTGCAGACACCGCGGCGCAGATGCAACGGACAAATTACATCCACACAGGCGCATATACAACTACGGCCGCTGAGAACCTGGCAAGGTTGGTCCTTGAGCCTACCACTGCTGTTGATGGCAAGGGCGGTCTCTTTGCCCATGGCCTGACGAGGGCCTTCTTTGTGGGAAGTGGTAGCGAGGCGAACGAATCTGCACTCAAGATTGCGCGACAGTATTTCGTTGAGAAGGGGGAGCTCCAACGGCAGCATTTTGTATCACGTCGACAGGCATACCATGGAAACACCCTTGGTGCCATGTCAATATCGTCGGTCCGAGGACGGCGAGTGCCGTATGAAGACATCCTTCTGCCCAATGTATCATTTGTCGATCCTGCATTTGAGTATCGCTACCGACACGATGGCGAAACAGAGGAGAAATATGCGAAGAGACTAGTCTTTGAACTAGAGGCTCACTTTTTAAGCGTTGGGCCTGAGAAGATTATCTCTTTCATGTAAGTCTCCGCTCTCGCAAGACTTGGCATTTCGTGCAGACCTCTAATACCTTCTTTCCTCTTCGCAACCCTAGAGCTGAGCCAGTAGTCGGAGCTGCATCTGGCTGTGTGACCGCTCCCAAGGCCTATTTCAGTGGAGTGAGATCTCTTTGCGACAAGTATGGAATCTTGTTGCACTTTGACGAGATTCTTTGTGGTATGGGTCGCACAGGATCGTACTTTGCTTTTGAACAAGAGGACGGTGGCGTTTTGCCCGATATTGTTACCATCGGCAAAGGCCTGGGTGGCGGATACGTGCCTCTTGCGGCCATGTTGGTTAATGAGAGAGTAGTCGACGCTTTACGACACGGCACATCCGTCTTCAATCACGGACATACCTTTCAGGCGCATCCGACCGCATGCTCAGCAGCACTTTCTGTGCAGAGAATTATACGGCGGGAAAACTTGGTCTCCAGGTGCGCCCAGTTGGGTAGGAAGCTTGGTCGGCGTCTGCGTAGTGAACTTCAACACTGCAAGTATGTCGGCGACGTCCGCGGACGTGGGTTGATGTGGGCGTTGGAGTTTGTCCGAGACAAGTCAACAAAGACTCCCTTCAAGCCGTCAATTGGATTCGGGGCACTTGTTTACCAGGCAGCATTCGATCACGGTGTGGCGGTATATCCTTGCGTCGGAACAGTTGACGGCGTAATTGGAGATCATATTCTCCTTGCACCTCCGTTCAACATCTCAGAGGACGAGCTGGATGTTATTGTCTCGACCGTTAGGCGCGCTTACGACGAGGTTGAACTACATTACGAAAGGATGATCAACCAAAATGCGGTGTAACAGTTCAGTGCTACAATCCTAGGACATCTCACGTAGTACAGTCCTACAGGTTTTGACGATTGAAAGGCCGATTCACGCTGGCCTTGTCCAAGGAGGGTGGCCATGAAAGAGGCAAAAGGGCCTACTGACAAGCCAGGCCAATACTAATTAGAAGGTTAAAATGGAAGAAGAAACAAGATATTCAGTACTAGATAACCATTGTCGCAATAGCTAGAGAAATATTGCTTCATTAACTGACGTTCGAAATGTATCTTACAACGCAGCTCCCGAAATGGTACTCTAGTCCCATGGGGTACCTTCCGGTACGATTAAGACATCCATCTGATCATCCCACAAAGGCCAGATAGCGTTCCACTCATTACCGTCACCATCGCAATATAGGACCGGTTCATATTGCGGTGGGAGATGTGATTGGCATTGGTGCACGTCGCCGAGGCCCGCTGTTTCGGACACCAAGTGATCTCCGACGAGAGCTCCAGGTCCATTATTGGCACTACTCGCTCGAGGGGTTGCTGGTGGATAACTCATTTGAGGCCCTCCATGGGTTTCAGTTTCCGTCTCGGGTGGAAAGGTGGACGCGCTGTGGTTTATTATGGCCTCTAGTGCCAGGTAATCTATGCGGGACTTGCCAAAGAACTCGTCTCGGTCAGAGCTGGCCTTCTGATAAAGCTGCTGCATAGTTTCAATGGTCGTCCACCAGCGTGCTCCTATTGCCCACTGAGTACGGAAGCGGTCGAGGTATGCTCTGTCAGTGTCGACGTCGGCTGTGGCGGTTGTGCTTCGGCCAAGGTTCATCCGAGGGAAGTGCAAGACGTAGATATTCATGGTTGCAGCTGAGAAGGAGCAGAAGCCAGAAAAGGGTGTGGATATTGGAACCGCAGCAGTGTCCAAACGGCGAAGGATATCGGTGATGCTTGCTGACGATGAGAACAGCTCACGTGCTCTTTCGTCCCACCATCCTGAAGGAGCTTCTTGTGTCAAAAGTGGAGGGTCAACTGGCCCTGAAGGTTCGGACGCAGGCGTTGGGAGGAACGGGATATACTCGCGTCCTAGAAATAGGCGGCTTGGAATCTTTTGTCAGGCCACTTGGCAAATGAGAAATATAGAGGGGGTATCATTACCACAGATGATATATCAGGTTGAGATATGCAAAGCTATGCGCCTGTCCAAGACTAGCATGAACTTCTATCGCCGTCTCAGGGAATCGGATGTTGGGGTCCTGTCTTTCACGCCAATCATGGAGCTCATCATATAGAGCTCGCCAAATAGAATCACGGGCCCATGGAGGTCTGACTTGTTGGTGCACAGACAGCCGCCGGCGGCCGCCACCAGCTATCCACTGCAAAATCTTGGACCAGATATCGTAGCCTTGAACGATGACTGCATAAACCTTGTCCAAGTCTTTGTACTCTGCGTGTTCCGTTGGTGCGCCGTACTCGTTCTGCGGGTAAACACGAGAGGTAGTCTGACCAAACGCAAAGTCTCGCTGTCCAATCGGCCAGTGGACTTCGACTGACTGGAGGGGAAGAGCCAGAGGCTGGGGCTTTCCACAAAATACAAGCCTGTCCATAACGAAGCAAGCCCAAAACGTGCGGTTCTGGATCTCACCATGCATTCCTGCTGTATCATGCGACTTCTGAAGGGCATTGAGCAGCTGAATCGATCGTATGGCGACCCCTGACACCCATATGAGTATCGCTTGGAACAGAAATTGGCCCTCCTCTACACTTGATCAAGGGAACACAGAGGCATCCCAAAATTGGGCAGAACGTACCGCTGTCAGCCCACGCTTTAAGTGTCCTGCCACACCCCCATTCATACATTGCTATGATTAAGAGAGTCTGCACCGATAGTATATCTGGCTGGTCGGCTGCTGAGATGCTGGCTCTGGCGGACGAGACACAGTCTTCGCTCGAGTATTCATCTTCAAGCCAGGGCGCACAGAGAGCCAAGAGAGCGAAGCATACACCTTTGATCTTAGTTGCAGGGCTGCCGACACTCTTACTTCCCGTGGTGTCAACGAGAGACGCATCCAAGGTTTTCAAGCTTTGCAAGAAGCTTGGAAGATGCAGAAAGTTCAGTTCCGGGAATTGTTTCACGAATACGTTTGCTGCTCTAGTAACTCGGTGTATAAAGTCTTTCTGCGGTTCGCTTGGTTGCCCTCGATGACTTGATGCTCTTTGGAAATTTGCAAATCGGCTTCGGGTCACGGCCGCATTGTGTCGTTCGCCGGAGCTACTCCCTATAACGCCCGTAGAGGTCTCGAGTCTACCAACATTTTTGTGCCTGCAATGAGCTTCAACATGTATTCTTGTTTAGCTGTCTAGAATGACGGTGGTTACGTACGCTGCCAGTAAGTGCTTCCGTTGTATGATGGGACGCGTAAGAACACATGTATCAACGATTCGCGTCGCGCCCTCTTTCATGCATCGTTGGCACGGTGGGGAGCCGTCGTGGATGCACTTGAGCTTGGCTTTTCTTTGGCCTTTGTCAGTAAAGAAGCTTCCTGGCATGTCTAGATGATCGCATTGTTACGAGCCAGCAAGCAACGGGCTACTGTATGCCCTGTCATACTGGGCTATCGTCGTCTCTGTGGAGGTTGGCGACCATCGCTGCTCACGGCTACTAACCTACATCGCGCGCACGCGACTGTTGTTCGTACCATGCCGCTTCGCGCACTTAGGAGCCGGATGCGTGACTCCCCAAGTCTATGAAGCCCTCAACCATTTCCGTGAAATAATTGTCACTTTATTGTTGCATTGGCGGACCGGCGAGGGGTTCCCTCGAAGCATCAGGACAACGTCGGCTTTCGCATTCACGTAGGATGAAAAAGCAAACCCGAAGTGGGTATCGAAACGGAACTGCCTGCTACCTTATATATGCGGCAGAGTACCTGTACACTAACAATGTCAAGATCCTGCTGCACTGCTAGTACTAGTCCAATCACTGACAAGCAAGCTAGCGGGTAGCGTCGCGTTTCGGGTTTCCGATGTTGCGGAAATGTGAGATCTTAAATATGTGCGACAGCGAAAGAAGGACATATAAACAGGCATTCGGCAGATCTGGCTTTTGAGAGTTCAGCACAGCGACGAGGTTAAGTTTCTCTGTCAACAACCAGTTGCAGTCTTTCTACATAGCGTGGAATAAGAACAAGATGGTTGTGCCGAATGACAGGTCCTCGAAGCCTCGGATCCGAGATCTGGGTTATGCGCCTGGGAGATTTGCACCAGGGCCCAAAAACTCCATTTTGGACATTGATGGTGAGGGGGGGCTTTTGTATCGATATTGATTCACTGATTGATGGATCTGCTAATCACAGCTCCGGTAGGTGTTCAAGTCGGTCAAGTCACCGTACACCAAGAACCCAGCATCCATACAGGCGTCACTGTCGTCCTGCCCCGAGGCCCTGAGAACACTGCCTTGTATCCATGCTATGCCGCCACCCATGGACTGAATGCCGCGGGTGAAATGACAGGTGCTCATATGGTTTGGGAATGGGGCCACCTTGCTTGTGTCAGTTCAGTTGTCAGTCCCGATAGGAGCGATGAAACTCATTGATAAATATTCTCAGCCAATTGCAATCACAAACACCATCAGCGTAGGGAAGGTTTACGACGCTGTCTTCCTCTGGTGCATGGAACAGTCACGAAAAAGAGGAGAGGACGATATGGAAGCTCTAAGACGCTTCACGATTCCCATCGTGGCGGAAACATTTGACGGATACCTCAACGACATCTGCGCGTCGGTAGTGGACAGAGAGATGGTTAACGAGGCGATAGCGGCAGCCCAACGACAGTCCCAAGTTCTTGAAGGTAACCACGGTGGCGGCACTGCCATGATATGCTCTGGTTACAAGGGCGGCACCGGGACAAGCTCGCGGATCATCCCTGGCCCAGATAAGGCTTACACTCTTGGAGTTATCGTACAAGCCAACCATGGCGGGAAGCCAGATCTACGAATTGCCGATGTTCCAGTGGGAAGACTCCTTATTGAAGAAGATCGCAAGAAATCAGATGAGGAAAGTAAAAAGAAGCCAGGGCCACCGGAGGGAGGAAAGGCCATGGAAGGCAGTAAGCTACTTTGATCCATCCACCTGCGAGAATATGCACTGACGTCTTTCTCTCCAACGCAAAGGCATAATCGTTGTCGTTGCGTAAGTCGCATCGATAGTGAAGCGTCACGGTATTGACAGGCTGTTAACCTATCATCATAGAACGGACGCACCTTTACTTCCACATCAACTCAAGAGAATAGCTCAGCATGCAGGAGTTGGGGTAGCCCAGGTAAGTATACGTGGTTCAAAGATCCAGTAAGCGTGTTTCCCATCTAACGCCGACACAGGTCAGTGGTCATTCGGCTGGAAGAAACTTTTCCGGCGAAATCTTCCTGGCCTTTTCCACGGGAACATCACCAAACAAGCTTGCAGAAGCATCAAACGGAATGGCCTATCTGCCGCCTGTGGAGAAACAAGGGGTGGAGACTGTGAGGAATGAAACCATTGACGCGTTACTGTATGCTGTGTCTGAGGCTACAGAGGAGGCTATTTTGAACGCATTATGCCAGGCGGAGACCTTGATAGGGTTTCGAGGGAGGACAATCGAGGCTCTACCGCTAGACAGAGTGCAGGCCTTGTTGGATAAGTATATGGTGCCTAGATAGATCCTATGACAATGGAACGTTCAATACCCCGTTAGCGCGGCATTAGTCACCTTGCCCTCTTTATGTTGCGCTGTAGACATGAAGTGAGCGTCCGTCGATGCCCACGTGGTAGAGGATAACCAAAAGGTACCTATACTCTATGTAGTATCCGGCTGGTCATAATCACCTACAGAGCTTGCATGGCCTACTTTGTGAATCGGTCTGCAATACAGAAGGGCAATCTGCAGGTTATTCTAGATCACCTCATGCTCACTACATTGAATAGCATGATACTACCTACCACCGGTTGCCGTGGAGCTGGCGATGGTCATTTGATGTTTGCATTAATACATAATATGGGGTAACAACACCACCGCTTCGGCTTATTGCCGCGACCCCGCAACGCCCAGCTGCGGCAAACTGCAACACCCCGCATCTCCACGAACACTGCCAAGTACAACTTTTGATACGAACTAGATTCTGTACAAAGATCACATCACACCAACACGGGGCGGAACGTAGCATGAAGTAGGAGATGACCCTTCTTCTTGCTTCTCGTGACTCGATAAAGGGAGTATTCGAATCTCGTTGGGGCAAGTGTACTCCGTACAGTAATTGCATTTGAGGTTGTTGTGCCGCAGCGTCCGCCGTTGCACCTGACCCTGATCGCCAAAGGGAAAGCTCGCCGTGTCGCGAAGCCCCGAAGCAATTTAGGTGGCCCCCATCTGACCCCAATGTAGATTATGCTTTGCCGATCACAAGAACCGGACAGCGAGTGGCCAGGCGCGCGACGGAAGAGCCAGGTTGCCAGGCAAAGGGTACGTATGTACTCCGTAGGCATGGCAGATCAACAGTCCCAATGCTCAATAACCTTGAAACGAAATGCAACTGTAATCAACGCGGGTAGCGATTGTGTGATGTCATCCGCTGGGCGAAAGAACATCGGCTCGGGTCGCTATAAGACCGAAAATACCGCCCGCCTCTTCATGGAAATGGCACAGTCAAGGGCCTCTTGAGCGGCGCGAACACGAAGAGCAGACTATCACCACTACGTGTCCATACGAGAGTGCCCAGGTGGTTGAGAAACAGCCATGGTGCCCATTTCGCCCGCAACGACGGCGGGAGCCGTCGTGGTACTGTTTAGCCAGCTGGCTGCAGCAGCACACAATGTCATCGACCTCTCTCAGCAGAAGTGGACACTCACGAGTCCAAATCATGAAAACATATCCGTTGCCGGAAAAGTGCCTTCGCACGCCCACGTTGACCTCTATGCGGCAAACATTATCAGCGATCCGTATGTCATGGCGGATAGATTCTGGGAATGTGCAGAAACTGTTCAGATCAATAACAATGCAAGCGTAACAGCCTGATCGAGCTCAACGATTTCGACCTCCGCTGGATCGGCAATAGTAACTGGACGTACACCAGCGAAATCGAAGGGCTGTATGACCACGGTACCGCCAACGACTTGCTCCAAGTGCAGGACCTGACGGGGCGCAGACAAACATCTGGCAATCTGGCCAGCTATCTCGTCTTCAACGGCCTCGACACCTATGCAGCTGTCGAATTCTGCGGGGAGCACGTTGGAAACGCAGATAACCAGTTCCGGCAGTGGGTCTTCGACATCTCCGACGTCCTCGCATCCTGCACGGCTCCTCAACCCCAGCTTGCCGTCAAATTCGGCGCCACTCCCAATATATCGGCGGCCATAGCTGCCGAGCCCGGCCAAGAGACATGGCCTGCTGGGATCAACGAAGTATATGAAATCCCCAACAGGTGGTTTGTGCGCAAGGAACAGTCCGACTTTGGATGGTACGTTGATCTGTATACTCGCCTCGTTGCTTTGTATAGATCTGACATTTGAGTTTGTATTCGCAGGGACTGGGGTCCAGCATTCGTCCCGGTAGGCATTTGGCAGCCTGCTTATCTCGTCCAGCTCGACGGGGCAGGGTCCGTGTATGTGAAAAACTCGGCCTTTGACCTCTACCGCAAAGGCCAATTAAACAACCTACCGCCAGACCAGACTGCCGACTGGATATTCAACGCCAGCGTGGACGTGGTCGGGACTGTTCCCGGTGGCGCACAGATGAGATACACGATTGTGGATTTGGATTCGCTTGAGGAGGTGAGCAGCGGGAGCCTCAGCGATGTTGAGAACGGCGGCGACGTCATCACGGGGATTACAACTCTCGATCCTTCGCAATACGAACTGTGGTGGCCCAATGGCCTTGGTGCACAGAAGCTGTATAATGTGACTGTCGACGTCATTTACAATGACGAAACAATTGCATCTGTCAACAAGCGGATGGGCTTTAGAACGATTGTTCTTAACATGGAACCCATCAGCGAGCTGGAGCTGTCTCAGGGCATCATCAACGGCAGTAACTGTAAGATCGAAACTTCCACAAAAACTGAGATCGGGACTAATCCAGAGCAACAGTTCACTTTGAGGTCAACGGCCATGTATTCTACGCCAAAGGGAGCAACTTTGTGCCCCCAGACCCTTTCTGGCCCCGTGTCACCTTCGAGCATATCCAGGAGATCCTCGCTGATGTGGTGGACGCCAACCAAAACATGCTGCGTGTATGGTCTAGTGGGGCCTACTCACCAGACTTCATGTACGACCTGGCTGATGAGTTGGGCGTCCTGCTGTGGTGCGAGTTTCAGTTCAGCGTCTCCCTGTACCCTGTGGCCCCGGCCTTCCTCGAGAATGTCCGCCAGGAGGCTGTCTATCAAGTGCGAAGGGTCAATCATCATCCGTCTCTAGCACTCTGGGCTGGAGGCAACGAGATGGAGAAGGATGAGCTGCCAGCCGTCAAGTCGCAAGCTCCGTCCCAGTATGAGCGCTACTTGAGCGAGTACCTGCTGCTGTTCCTCGACACATTGCTACCTACCGTCTATGGCAATTCACACAGCATCAGCTATATGCCCTGTAGCACTAACAATGGCTACTTGGAGCTAAACTTCAGTCTGCCCATTCCTTTTGTTGACCGGCTTTACAATACCACGCCTGGATACCTTTATGGAGACAGTGACTTTTACGACTACGATCCCTCGCATGCCTTTGACATTAACAAGTATGTCGTCGGCCGATTCGCCAACGAGTTCGGCTTCCCTTCTATGCCCAGCCTCGAGACGTGGCGTGAGGCCATCCCCGAAGACCAGCTCTTCTTCAACTCAACCATGACGGTCTTGCGCAACCATCACTACCCGCCCGGCAGCCTCACCACCAATAACACGGCTGATCCTCTGAGGGGAATGGGAGAGATGACACGGGGCGTCCAACAGTGGTACCCAACACCAGCAAAGACCGACTCTGTTGCCAACTTCGCTGCCTGGTGCCACTCCACCCAGATCTTCCAGGCCGACTTTTATCACACCAAGATCCAGTACTACCGCGCCGGTTCGGGACTGCCCCAGAGACAACTAGGCTCGCTGTATTGGCAGCTCAACGACATCTGGCAGGCGCCGACGTGGTCAACCAGGGAGTATGACGGCCGCTGGAAAGTGACTTTTTACGCCACCAAGGACATCTTCCAGCCGGTTATTATTGCTCCTGTATTCAATGTCACCACAGGCATCCTGGAGATATTTGCCGTATCGGACCTGTGGAGCGATGTATCAGGCGAGGCAAGGTGGGAATGGCTCGGCTACGATGGCCAGCCAGTTGGCGACTCTGATGCATCCGTCCAGTCACAGAAGTTCACCGTCAGCCCGGTCAACTCCACAGTGCTGGCGAGGATGAATATCACCCAACTTACGACAAGCGGCGGTTTGCCGGCATCTAATGCGGTTTTGATAGCCAACATTACCGCAACTGGCACGTCGCCAAACACGCAGGGCACGAAAACCTACACGCACTCCAACTACTTCACGGCCACGCCTCTAAGTAAAGCCAATCTAATCGACCCCGGCCTGACGATTCGCCATGATGGTGATGCTTTTACCGTCACGGCCGAGAAGGGCGTGAGCGCATTCACGTGGATCGCGCTGGACCCGAAGGACGCCGGCGCCATTGTCACATTTGATGATAACGGCTTTTGGCTGAGACAAGGGCAAAGCAAGACAATTGGATATCGTGTCCATGGAGAAAGCTCTGGCTGGGAGAGCCGTGTCACTGTGAGCAGTATCTGGAACAATACTCTTCCTTCATGATTCAATAGTCTCCGCAATACAAGCACTGGCTTCTCATCGAAGACTGTGGCATATCTTCTCGGTGGCACATCGTCGTGAAACTCGATACCTTAACCGAAATCGTCCTTATTCTACGTAGGTAGCACTACGCGCTCAAATGTGTTCGATTGAAAGGTTCATATTGGGGATATATCATTTACTAAATGAGCTAGGCTCATAAATGTCAGCGACATGATCCCATAAACCATCTGATGAGGAAGTCCAAACTCGACTGTTTTGCCTTATCGTGAAGTATTCTATCCCTTTTGAACATTCTAGGTGCTTTTTTTCTTCTTTCCTTTCATTTTTTTCTTGGTTCTTTTTTTTTTTTTGGCATGACGGTAGTTGTAGAAATAGCTGACATGGAGTGCTACGAAGATAACTATCTGAAAGAAGGGTTCAACTGCTCTATCTCGGTAGGCTGAGTACCTCTGGGAACAAAGCCTCCACCTGTGTCTTTTTTTTTTTTTTTTTTCTTGCATTCCCGTTTTACAGGTGCCCAAACTATCACGAACGACGCAGGCTTCCAGGATTTCCGAGACAGTTTGATTCTCTTTCTACAGGTAAATAGATGTGCTAGTCCTGAAACCGAACAATCGGGCCCAGCCAAGTATCATAATCCTCAAGAAGCGTGCCGTCGCCTCCCCATCTCAAGACACTGAAAAATAGACGATAATCTCCATTGCCAAGCGTGACATTAGCACCGCTATCGGTACTTACGGTGAACCCCGTACCTTGCAGAAAAACGCTGGCAGACGGGGAGTTCAGTGTTTCGGACTTCCAAAGGTTTCCGTAGCTTGGCTCGCCGTTGAACAGAGTCGAGCTGAGCTTCTCAGCAGAAGGGAGATATTCATAGTCGGCCGGCACAGTAGCATTATCGCTATAGAAATGCGCCGCGAGGGTAGTATTAGCAGGGACAATATCCGCCCTAAGGAGGTTGGACCAATTGGTGACAACGACGGAGAGTGTATATGTTCCGGACGACGTGATGGAAGAAAACCCAAAGTCATAGCTGTCTGTACTACCATTTCCAAATCGCATGTACGGTTGGCCGGGTAAGGTGTCTGTAGGTGCGCTGTAAAAGATGTGATCAATGTTATAGGGCGAGTAGGCAGGGCCAATGTATGGGATGCTGAGGTTGGCTCCTGTGCTTGGAATAACATCAATGAACCCGGAGAAAAGGGGAAGTCGTGTGATAGGGACGGCAAGAGGTGGATATGATAGGCGTATGGCAACTTCCTTGCTTTCGCCAGGTTCCAGCACAAAGGTAGGCGAGTACCATGTAGGGGTCCCAAAATTAGGAAGCTGGTTAGTCTCCATGTAGCCGTTGTTCTCTTTCACGTAGCCTGCTCCACGGTGGCCAAGCTTGTACGTTTGAGTAGCCTCTCCATTGTTCTCCACGGTAATATTCACTAAACCAAACGATGTGCGGTTGTTGTCTGTAACAGCGAGCTGTCCTGGATAGATTCGAGTCGATGACGTGATGGCATCGTAGACATTGACAAGTCCAGCACCCTGTTGAGCAGTGGTGGCCAACATTGTAGTATCAAATGCCCAAGGCGTTGGCCTGGCGGTCATCTGCAGTAGAGCGAGGATCTCGTCAATGGATAAATCGGGGAATTGGGATTTGACAAGCGCAAAGCAGCCAGCAATATAGGGTGTTGACATGGACGTTCCCGAGAGAATTCCGTAGCTGCCAATACTTTCTGGGAGTGTGGACAGAATGTGGCCTCCTGGAGCAGAAATTTCCGGCTTGAGTTCGTATGTGAGCCTAATGGGCCCCCAGTCGCTAAATCCATCCACTATTCCAGCGAGGTACTGTGGAGTGCTGGTATAAGTCGAGTTATTGAAGAAAAGTCTGTACTTCATATACCCTCCTGCCTTTTCGTAGTTGGCATAAAAGGTATCCGCATCGGGCTCTATAATTGTGAGAGCCCTAGTAGCTCCCGCATTGAAACGGTACGGCAGGATGCTTTCGTGATCTTTCAGATAGGGGTTTGTTCCAGCGCTGAAAAACCCGAGTAAATAAGGAGGGATTATGCTGCCACAACACGTTATTGTCGACAGCTGACAAGACTCCGCAACGCGCACTGCAATGATGGTGGCGTTGATATTGCCGCCTTGTGCCTCAATGTCGTTGTAGATTCCCTCCCAATCAAACGAACCACATGTATCGCCAGGAGGAACATACACATCAAGACCTTCAGGTGCTGAAATTGGTTTTAATGACGCAAAGGGGACGTGTGTACCGTAACTGTCCTGTGCTGTGAAGACCAGCGGGTATTCGGAATTGGCAATAGAGCCGACGGAGATGACGCTTGAAAGCTCACTGGGGAGCGTTTGAAGATAGAGATTGTTCCCATCAATATAGTTTGATGCGTCATTTCCCATGGCAACAATCATGGCGATGCCAGCTTCCCTAAGACTCTGAGCAACACTCTGAACAGGGTCATACTTCGGTAGAATCGTAGTCATTCCCTCGGCAAGGGAAAAGGACATACTGAGGATGTCGACGCCGTCTTCCATGGCTTTCAGCATTGCCTTTATGACGAGGTCGCTCTCGCCACCTCGTCGCGCCCCTCCAATATCACCACAGCTGTAGATGCGGTAGGCATACAGTGACGCCTCAGGGGCTACGCCGGAAATAGGTAACCCTTCCGGGTACTGCAAAGGGTCCATACCTAAGATTCCTAGGAGTAATCTATGTATCAGATCGCTGCCCGGTCATTTTGGCTTTAGGGTCATCTAAATGGTCTACTAACCTGCCACATGTGTCGCATGGTCTGATTGAGCACAGTCGGAAAAGGGGTCACTGCCCTCAACCTCATCTCCATCATCGGTAATGAAAGAGTAGCCACCCGCAATCTTCTTGCCGTCGCCGAAGCCTCCGCCGAGAGCTGGGTGCTTATAGTAAATACCGGTATCAATGAAGCCGATCTTTACTCCCTTGCCCTTGTTGCCCATGGCATGAACTTTGTCGACGCCGCCCATTCTTAGAGTGTATCCCAAGTCCTCGGGGTCAGAATCAGACCCGCGACGCATGAGTGAGGAAATGTCGTCTTGGGGCACAGTGAAGTTGCCCTTGCTCGAGGGAAGTTCATACTGGAGGACCTTGGCGACGCCGATAACCCCCGAGATAGTGTCAAGGCGCTCTTTTATTCCCTCCAGATCATTGCTACCAGATACATCGATCGAGATGCCGGTGAAAACACCAGGAGTGTTGAATACGTGGCGGACTTTGTAAGTGATGTCCCTGGTATTCTGGGCGAAGGCATCCAAGGTCGTTGCCTTTTCATCTAGCTCAATGATGAAGGCACTGCCGGCTTCATTCAATGAGCCAGCCACAAGAATCGCTGTCAAAGGGAGCAAGAGTATCAGTAAAGTGAACATGTTGTGCTGAAACTAGGGCAAAGACTGCCAATAAGAGGAGCTGTCCACGCGGAATTGGCCGGCTGATATCCCTCCAATGTGTTATGGATTTGCCTCGCGGAGGCCGCCCTTATATGCCTACTATTGTCCAGGAAAAACTGCTTTATCAAAATGCGGATGATACCATATGTACCTATATCTATATCATGCGGAGATTCACGGAGCGTACTGCTAAATTACACTCTCAGCAACCTTCATTATCAGCTCTTGTATTCCGAGGGCTACTCCAGTTAAATCTTGTTTGCCGCTTGTAGCGCAGTCAGGCAGAGGGGACCCCTCCAGCAGCCGGAATAGTAACATTGAGCATCGCAGACTAACGTCGAAGCGTATCCCTGCACAGTTGGCCATAATGGGATTGGCAGAGGGTCTACAGTTGAACAGAAATGGAAGGTTGTGGTGTTCAGGGTCTTCTTTGGGCAACTTGGCATCCGCTAAGCTCCTGATTTTGCTGCGATATCGACAAAGTCCACAGAGGATGCCAGCCGAACGCCGGTGCTTGCTATGAGGAGCACAGAAAATCGGACGATAAGATATTAAGCAGACAAAGACACAGCTTCAAGCACGCAATCTCCGCAGATAGGCAAAAGCGGGGGTTCCAAGGTGCTGTATCTTATGAATACGAGGTTTCATGCAGAGAATTCTGTAGTCGGCAAATGTATATACAGCGTGCTCGTTGAAGTTGGACAGTTCTTTCGGGTGTGTAGAAGATCAAGATATCTGCAACAAAGAGGCCACTTTGAGTTCCAAGAAAGTAAACCAAGAGATAGCATGACCTGTGCAGGAATGTTCCATGTTGGATCAGATTGTCAAATGTCCTGGGTAAGAGCCGAGTGGGATAGCAGTGAGGTATTTGACTATAAGCCAGCTTTGACCCTTGCTTAAAGAACTTTTGTCTGACTTTTTGTGGCCTCCATGGATCTGTTCCCCCTTCCAACATTGGCAGTTCACCAATCTCTACCTATTTGATTGTGCCAATATCTATTGATACGCACCAGTATAACCGCCCATGAAACTGGGTTCAAGATAGCGCTAGCTTCCCATCTGACGTACACTCTCACTTCCTTCTTAGTAGAAGAAATGAAAGCATCTATGCCCGTTGACGAACTGATGGTTTTCTCTGTTACGCTCTGTTATCGGAATCCACCACTTGATGCAAAGTCCCACGGTATCCGAAGGCTTTGGCTTAGCCGATGGTAAGCTTCACCATGATAGGCAGGGATAACTAATAAGCAACAATAGGCCGTAAGCAATTCATCGGGCCCTTAGTATATGAAGTAGTGCCGTCGGCTTTTATCTGAGAATGCTTGCTTGTATGAGATTTGTTCACGCGGTGTAACCTGACTGGTTTATGTATTAGGGTTGTTCTAGTGCAGTGGATTCACACTTGTTGTGACTACACAGCCTGTTGCTGCAGGGCATGTGGTGGGGTAACATGATTTCATTCTCAACCAGATAAAGAAGTTTGAGGGGAACTTCATTCGCTTCACGAGAGGCGACAGCGAAAGACGGCCTCTTGAGCTTTTCGATGAGACTTAGAGACATAGCCATGCATGTTTGCTAATATGTAGTATTATCCCATATATGATATTGGACGCTGATACTTAAAGGCCATGAAAGAAATCAGAAAGCTTAAGGAGCCAAATGCTCTCTATTTGCATATGTATTTTCCGATTGCAGTGAAAGATTCAATGCAGTGCGTAAATTGGCACAGCGAGAGGGTATGATATGTGTGTATCGTGATGATAGGTAAGGACTTGCTTCAATCTGTATCCAATTGTCGGGGGTAGGACCTTCTTATATATGAGTTGGGTGATCCGCGGAGGCGGACCCCATTGGGGTCACCCTGTAGCTCAACATAAAACAAGACTTTGGAAGGTCACAACACTTTACCATCTTTTCCAATAGGGGCCGCAGATGTGGAATTTAAACTTAAAGAGATGCACTAAAAAGCTTGAAGAGAATCGACATAGGAGGAAAGATCCTCTGTAAATAATTCAAGTTCTTTTCTAGCTTCGGAGTTAGTCGTCCAAGTGTCTGACGGCGGGGAAGAGTATGAAAGTGAGGGTCTACGCTTCAGAGCTTATGACAAACACTAACAATGCAGAGGCGCAGCAGGTGAGGATGTGGTTTGAGGATGAATCTTGTATTTCCTAAGGTAACTTTGAGACATTCCATGCTTGAACAATGATGCACTGATCATAGCACTATTATGTAGACATATTACAAGCTGAGTGCCCACTATCCATGAATCTCCCTCATTATTCATACTGGTCAGGATCGACATCTGCGAAAGTAGTGCCGACAGCAACCTCGTCGTACCAGATCTGGCGGAAGCCCTGGTTGCCGACCATTTTTTTGTCATCGTGCCATCCATTGGCATAGAGACCCACGCGAAAGGCAAAGGTGTAGTCATCGTTGGTCGTTGTGGCAATGTTATAGTGCTCGTATACCTTGTTCCCATCAAACCACATCTTGTAATAGCCGGAGCTATCGCTGGCCCATTTGGCTTGAATGATCACTTTATGCCACACGCCAGCGGATACAGTTGCAATGTTTCCGGTGCCGGTCATAGTGCGGCTGCAATCTGGCTGGCGGTAGTTGCCGCTGACAATTCGAGAGTTGAGCTGGTTGCCCTCCAGCCAGATGAGCGACGACGGCATCCAGTCATCGTCATCGCACCCGGCCCCAGGTCGATCGGCAATGAATTGAGCAATGTTGTATGATTGCTGGTCGAATTCCCAAGATGAGGATAAACGGAACATGAACCCGTAAAACAACTCGTCGCCGCGCTTGTATCCCTGATTGTGGTATACTTCGGAGTGGTATCGACCCGTGTAACCAGGGGTGTAGGTTTGCTGCATTAGGAGAGCGGTGGTGCCTTTGTATGTGATATCAGACACTTGAAGAACCTTTCCTTGGTTCTCAGTGAGGACGTAATCGAAGCCAGCGGTAGTGCCACCATTTTGGAAAGTTTGTGTTGCGATGCCGAGTTGCAAGGAGGCAATGACAACCGCAAGAGACTTGATGATACCCATGGCTAACGCTGGACAAGATAGTAGTTGCGAAGAAGGCAGTCCAAACGATTGATTGTTGTTGAGCAGGATGAAGCCTCCCAGCTGACATTCAGGGAGGTAGACACGAGTATATATATGCATAGCCACTGGAATCATTCGCTGTCGGAAATTGATTACACGTTACCTCGCAGTATATCCGAACCGAAGTCGAATACTATCTGGATTGGAACTATTGGGACGACTGGCTTGACAGTCCAGCTTCTTGTTTCGTACTAGCTACTCATCAACCACGTGTTGAAATATTGATATCACTAGGTATCATTTTACCACCAATGGGCACCCTTGTGATCTTCAATCCATGATCTGTAAAACGAGTAGAACGAGATATAAGATCGGTATGTTATATGGCTCAGTCTGAATTTATGCTTTGACAACCTTCACATTGGAGATTAAATCCTGTATCCACACAGTGGCACGCACGCATATAAGTTACTACTTGATTTCTCATATTCGATTGCAGCATCAATAGGTCACCGAACATTCAATGTGAATACCTGCTCAGTGGCTCTGAAGATACCCTACCCTTTCTCCGAACTGTACGGTACTCATATACTTGTGCTTCCCATGTAACACCTCTTCGTTCTTTGCTGCTTCTATATCATGTCCTGTGGGCGGCATTGGTGGAAAATCCCGATAGATGGGTACCTATCCTTACCAATACATTTACCTTTAGCAAAGCAACTACCTAAAACGGCAGGTTGGCATCGTGTTTCCCGAGTAGTAGTTCGTGTTTGGTCTCAGCGGATTTCTACTACTAAAGGTACTACGAGGTGCCCCTCAATACCTACTTCGTACCTGGGTAGATTTGGAATATTCTTGGAGTGGGGTTCGCATCCGGGCCTATCGCTGTCTCCCTTCCCTCTATCCTTCGTTACGCTTATATTTAACAAGTCTATTATGCATATTGCAAAAAGACCATTGCGAAATATGCCGCTGTGTACTGCGTGCTCATATGAAACGGTGACGAGTGGAACTTTGGCGACAATAGCCTTATGGAAGCCGTAAATGAGCCATTCGTAGCCCTTAGTCTGGCTTTCACTCAATATCCAAAAAGGTTACTGCAGAAAAGGTAGTATCGCCCAATACATTCTGTATTTATTTACGAGATCCCCATCTCAAAGCGCTCTGTCACACTATACGTTCGATGCATAACCTGCATGATCACGTTGTGCGTCTTGGAAGGCGTGACACAGACGACGTCGGCGACACAATGGCAAGCAATGCTTGGTACCTGGAGCTAATGACCTGTCAGTGTATGAACGAGTTAATAATATGTGGCATTTGCCGATCTACAACGTTTTGGCATGAATCTGAGCGCTTTCGTGGAGTTCGTATCGAGCCTTATGTTCGTGGCGGTTCATCAAGCTGTAAGTAAGGTAATCTAAAGGTAGGTAAAATTATCGCCATTTGCTACGCACCTCAGAAAGCATTGAACCAGACAATAATTTCGCGAATGGACTTAATAAAAAACCAGGACAAGCATCAATTTGAAAGCGTAGCAAATCGCTTTACATATTGACAATAATCGCCATAGCCATACTACTGTTCCCATTGTGAAAGGCGCTGTCGGACAAGGAATTCGCTGACTCCACCAAAACGAGAGCGAGAGCGCGGACGGGCACGACCGTCCACCCATTTTCGAAGACGGTGTTGCAATATTAAAGTCATAAACTCTGAGTTCTTTTTTCCTTTATTTAATTATCATTTTTTCTTTTCCCTTTTGTAATAGCATGAAAGCAATCTCTTCCAATGCATTGTCCTAGCCACGGTGTTCGTTCATCTCTGCCCTGTTGAGCCTATCCGGCGTTCACAAGATCAATCATACTGCACTGACTATATTCTCCTTCCCATCCTTCGGTCCGGCGCTACAATTCATCAGCATCATGTCAGCACAAGAGTACTAGAGTAGCTCACCGGAAGTTGGCCACCACCCCAAGATGGCCACCCATTTTACACCAAAAGTGCTACTTTTTTAAGTACTAATATAAAATCAGGGAGTTATCTAAAATAGGAAATATTTTAAATATAGCTATTTAAGTAGTTTAAAATTATATATGTACTAAGAAAAGAATTCTATAAAATTTATATTATATAAAAACCTTACTTAAAGCTAAAGATAGAAAACTGTTAGTGTTTTACTAGTAATTACTAGTATTCCCTTAACAGATTTTAAAGTGTAATTTAAAATTAGAAATAATATTAAAAAAATTTATTTTGAAATTTTTATAATATATTTATTTATATAATTTAAATAAACTAAAATAACTTATATAACTTACTAATTATTAATTATAAAATCTTAATTTAAGATATTCTTTAATAAAATATATTAAGAATATTATTATTTTTAATATATTATATAAAGTAAGTAAAATAATACTATATTTATAGTATCTTATAATTATTTAGATTTTTAATTATTATTATATAAGCACCTTACTATATATAAATTTTTATAGAATTAATTATTAATTTATATAATCTGTTAAGAAAATACTAGTAAATACTAGTAAAACACTAACAGTTTTTAAACTTTAACTTTAAGTAAGTATTTATATATAGAATAATTTAATTATAATTTTTTAAAGTATTTTTATATATACCTTAGCTAATAAACTATACATAAATAGCTTATATAAGCTTTTTAATTATATCTTAATTTTATATTAGTACTTAAAAAAGTAGCACTTTTGGTGTAAAATGGGTGGCCATCTTGGGGTGGTGGCCAACTTCCGGTGGGAGACTCTATGTACAATACCAGTTTGAGCAGCCAAAGCACTGCGCCGCAACCCGGGTTCTGTAGCAAAAGGCAAAACGATTCAAGCTGCCCCTAGAAAGGCGGTAGAGAGCATATGAGCTGTCAGAATTGATTCCCTACTGGCAGGAGTTACTTTACTCAATGCAAAGGACAGCAGCAAAATACGGGCCAATCTTACCTGGTCCACGATGTCAATATCCATGAGCTCGCGCAAGTCAATGAACGCGTTCAGCATCGGCAACCTTGGGTGGCGTCGAAGTCCAATATCAGAGCCCCCTGCCCATGCAGCAGTTTCCCCATAGTACGGGTCCCGGCCGCAGGGAGCTTCAGGGCGAACGCGGCCTCGGCACTATCCTCAGTGGTGGCGGTATCGCGCCTTTCGCAGCGAAGAAATCTGGAAACGGAATGTTCGGTGCGGTTGGAGGCGCATCGGCTGGTGCCATTGGCGCAAATATCATTGGGCATGTCTACAAGTACGTGTTATTCTCGTATATGGTCGGCAGTCAGCCCATGCTGTCAAGCGCCAGCGTGTGAACCTATCATGCTGCCGGGCTTTAACAACCCCCCTTCCCGTTTGTTCACGTAACGTTGGGAGCAAGGTACAAATTGCCACCAGTCCGAGTTCTTCTCGAAGTCCATCAATTTCAGGAGGGAAAATCGACAGAAGTGGGGGAAACAGATGGGAAAGGTCATTGGAAATACTGTTGAATAAAAGTGGGGGACCCCGCTGATGTCTCAACGATATTATTACAGTAAACCTTGGTTATAACAATAGTGCTCAGCAGACTCTCGATATCGTTATAGATAGATTATCATAACATCCAGTAGCTACTTTAGGCAATTGCTCCGCTTTTGTTAAGGAATTATTGCAGAAAATTGCAGAAAAGTGGAGATAAGCGAGGATCCTTTCCTAGGTACACACCATACGCCCCTCTGACCCCTGGCTTTACTCTATTTTTCAGGGTGTGCGAGGGGCATGTAATAGGTTTCTAAGAGATTGTATTAGTATAGAGAGGTTTTTTATAGGTCTATATCGTTATAGCCTTTGCGGGAAGATGCTGCACTAACAGACGATTACAGTGGCCGACCGCGGTGCTTAGCGCGGTCTATCGGTATAGGCAGACTATTGTTATAGATGGGGATCGTTATAGCCAAGGTTTACTATAGTATTCTTATAAGGAATACTGGCAGAAATTCTGTTCGACATATACATGCCAGTCGAAGCCCAGGTGGGACATGAACGCAGATTATTATAAACACCTTTTGGACCTGCTGCACAGTCGACTAATATGGTAGTATTATAGCGGACGTTACATCAACAGCGGGGCTCAGCGCGAGAAAGGAACACGGACCGAACATTCTTAATGTTGGGGGTTGGCTCCGCGGCACCTCACGTCGTCTCGCATGAAAGCATTAAAGGCGCGTAGGGTAGAGCTGAATTTATGTCGAAACCTCTTCGGGTTTGCCACAGCTTGAGGTAAGATTGAGGGAGGATGTCAGTTTGAGGAGTCACGGAACACCATGTGGACCAAGTCACTATCATGAAGCAATCATTCGTTGCGCAGGAGGTCAAAGATAATAATAACGCAACCCCGAAAGGCCAATTTGGTTCTTATTCATCGCCCTGTGCTCAGTTCTTATACCTCAAGTATATAGGAATCACAGACACATCGACCGTCAACCGCAAACATGCCATCTTTCTGTGTTAGAAGACTCAAGTCAGCGTGGGGACTGTCCAGTCAATCCATTGGCTTTGATTAGCCGAAAAATCGCTTTGGAAGATTGCGGTATTTGTAGATTGGCCGAGCAAGAATTTCTGGACAAAAGCAGTGAGTTGTGACTGCTGGTTTGACGGGAACGCGCAGTGTCCGTGGGCTCCAATCTGCGAGTAGCCCATGTTGTCCGAGACACCTAAAGCCTGCCATGCCATATGAGCAGCTGTCATACAGCCAAAGCAGCTCTGTGGACCCAGCCAATCGATATTGTTGTCGATAACAAACAAGCCTCTCGGCGCAATCAAGGCAGCAAGCGAATGGTGGTCAAACGGCAATACCGGCACTTGGTTGACGTAGCTGTTGAACGTAGTTGAGAACCAAGGGTCTTCGCCAATGATCTCAGATGCAGTCTGAATATTAGCTCCTTGGGACTTCAAATAGTCCGAGATTCTCCAGCACGCAGAGCCACCAGCGCCCGACTCCTGGGGAAGCGTCAAAACGATTCGTTTCTCGAAGGCACCTGCGACCATTGCGCCTTTTCCATTTCGTGAACACCCCGTCACGCCAATCCTGGTGGTGTCAACTCTTGCTCCTGGCGCCAGCTCAAGAGCGTCGATGACTCGACTTACTCCCCAAGCCCACGCGGTCATGGCGCCCGCAGAGTGCGTGCTCCCATAAAGATCGTAGAACTTGCCCTGTCCGCGGCTGCCAGTGTTGACTTGGGCTGCTATGTTGTCGTTGTTGAAATTGATCATGGCAACCCCCGCTGGAGCTGGAAGACTGCCGCCCCCATAAGCAATAATCGCAGGATATGGTGGCGTTCCGGAAGATGGGTATGTGATAGTGACAGTGAATGATATTGACTTTCCAGCCTCTCCACAGTTGATGGTCAATGTATTTCCAGAGAATGATGCGGTGACGGTGCTGGGCCGACCTGGCAGAGTGCCGAGCTCATATCGCTGGATCAGCTCTGACATTTCTGCCTGGCGGCACGAGAACTTGTCCTTGGTAGTAACCTTGTCTCCATTGAACATTGTAAACAGGTCGTTGAGCTTTGCGTTGGCTCTCAAGGTAATGGAGCCCGGTAGCGCAGAGCATGTCGCGCCGCCTGCGCCCGTACTACTGGCTGGGGGTGTTGATGCCGAAGTCCTCGTAGCAGATGTGCTCGTAAAGGATGTGACCAGCGTCGTAGATGCAATTGTCGATGAAGCCTGTGTACTGGGGATACATTGCGAGTAATATGGACTATATGATACACAGGTCGTGCCTCCGACACAAGTTGTTGGGCCAGACCAACCAATTCCACCACCTGGGAGCACTAGTCAGTTTCCCATACAACCAATCTTGAGTGAGGAGTAGTGCAAACATTGTCCCCAGACTGGAGATTGCGCCTGAATCGGGATGGCTAAGAGAAGCAGAGCAAAGACGCGGGTAGCCATCTTGTCACTTCTGAACGACGAGATATCGACTTCGATTTGAGCAAGATGCTTACACCTCGTTGTTCAGAGCGCTACTCCAGTCCCATTTATAACTTTCTGTAGCCGTTCGTCCGGCCGCAAACATCTTGATTCTCACCGGCAACGTCTCAGCCATGGAGTCTTGACAAACGGTAATTCTATCAAGCCATTCTCTTCCCCATCACCAGAGAGTCTTCGAGAGCCAAGAATCGAGCCAAGGGCCAATACAACGCAAGCGAAGATCCGTAAGGCCGAATATAGGACTGATGGGGGGACATAAAGCTCCCCATCCATAGAGGAGAACGGTTAAATTTAATCGGCTATTCAGGAGGGAGTCATTCGGTAATACTGATTCTGGAAACCCCTGTGGAACCACGTGGTCACGTCACCTGTTGCTTTGATGGAATTGTAACGCCTGGTCCACGGCATCCTTCATTCGATGCTGAAGAGCCTGAAAGGGGAGACCGGGTTTAGGTTTTGAAAACGCGGCTAAATAAGCTTATGCATCTTTATATGCTAGACTATTGGCGAACCTCGCAATTCAAGAGCCACCGGATCAAGGTCTGTGTATAGATGACATTGTCTTCCTACCATGCACGAGAGCTGTTGAGCCTACCTGGAAATTTCCTTGCCCCTTTGAATGCGTAGCCTCAATGTGAGCATGAACTTATAGTGTTCTTAATGCTACACGAACGTGTGATGTAGCTTCTAATGTATGAACCTTCTATAATCATGCTTAAACCAAGCATCGTGCAGAAGCTCAGTCGCATTCATCATTCATAACAGCCAATTCTACGAACTGACTGGCTTGGACAGATTGCATCACCAAGAAACAAAAGGTAATCATCTGGGCACTTTCGAAGGCTCCTGGTGATATTGGGCATAGCTTCGAGGGAGAGGTCGAAGCGATGTATGAGGATGTGAGAGAGACAAGTTGTCCCGTATTCCGTCCTGCAGAATTCACGCATACAATCCCATCTATCACTCGATTTCGTAATAGCCTAACATCGCCATGGCCCACAGCTTCGCCCAACTTTGGCTATAACAATAGTTAAGTGAACCCGAGCTCTTACATCACATTACCCATAGGTTACTGTGATATATATGTGCTTGATCATGAAAGCTGGAATACTCGTCTCGTTGACTCTGCCGCTTCCACTAGTCTCCGTCTCGTTTGGCAAGATAAAAGAGAACGCATTCAGCAGCGCCGATTTGGGAGCCTTGCTCAGAGATTACAACGACCATGACTACGGTAGCATGTGTCCACCACCGGACCGTTTATATTTGAAGACACAGAAAGTGTATGGTACAGTTGCAAGGTTGGTGTTCATCACTATTGGAGGGAGACTGCTGCCCAAACTAAAAGAGGAGCTTCTCGCTGCAAGCATGAATCCGGGGTATGACTGCGACGTGAGTTGGGTAGCATGCTACCCACACCCTGTCATGTGCCAAAGTATTGGAAAAGTAAATCCGGTCTGGATATTTGCACAGTATGCACTTGTCTGCTTTTGCTCCTATTCAGGAGCCAGCCTTGATTGCCTTCGACAAAAGGACGATGCCGTCTCTTGAAGAGGTCAAGTTCATACCGCGAAAGAACAATCTACAAGCATAGCATATCCTTACCTGTACGAGCTTGAATCTAGCTTCCCTCGTAGGACGACATATACTGTAACGTCCAGTAAAGCACGACGCACGCGTACATGTAGCACCTCAAGCAACATCCGGTTTAAATATTGATATAAAAGGATAAATAGAAGCAAAGAAGTGATAGTCTGGTACCGTCATTTAGCCGTGTGATGTGGCAAAGCTCACTCGTATGCGACGCTGGATAAATGCCACCACCTCAAAAGCGCTGCCGTGTCTTGCGGAAACGATACTTTTCTCCCTATGGATGTGAGTTCAACGGGCTCCGGTAGGACTTTGTACTTCCTCTGAAGCTTGGGCAGCGCCCTTTGATGAGAGAGCGTGACGGAACATAGTGGGTATCATATGCCCTGGGGCAGGACAGACAGTGACCTTGATATATTCGATTTCATGCCCGCGAGACTCGTAGAACTAACAAGCAGGTACACCTTTCTTCTTCTTAAGGATAGATCTTCAGCTTGAAGCAAATGAGACAGAATGATCCTACTCAGAGACTGTCTTTTGTTCGCTGGCGCTGCTACCCTATGCGTAGCCCAAACCACCATCACTGTCAATGTCGGCACTAGATTTCAACAAATTGACGGCTTCGGCTTTTCGCAAGCATTTGGAAGAGCCAGGGAATTCCAAAACGCCAATGCAAATGCGCAGAAGCAAGCTCTTGATCTTCTGTTCAGCACCAGCACCGGTGCCGGCTTCAGCATCATCCGCAACCGCATCGGATCGGGCGGTGCAGGCGACAGCATCGAACCGAACAACCCCGGCTCTCCATCCGCCACGCCAAATTACATATGGGACAACAATGATAGCGGCCAACTATGGTTCACACAACAGGCCGTCTCGTATGGCGTCAAAACTATTTATGCCGATGCATGGGGTGCCCCTGGATTCATGAAGACAAGCGGCTCAGACTCGTCCCCTGGGTGGGTATTCCCATTGAGATCATATACAACGCGCTTAAGCTGACAAGGTCCAACTCTAACTCAGCTATCTCTGTGGCACCACGGGCCATTCCTGTTCCTCAGGGGATTGGAGACAAGCTTATGCAAACTTTCTAGTGCAATACGTCAAGTACTACGCAGCAGCAGGCTATAACATCACACACCTGGGATTTCTAAACGAGCCAGACTTCCAGACGACATACTCTCAAATGCAGATCAGTTCGAACGCTCAAGAAGCCATCTCGTTTATCCCCATTCTGTCTAACACGGTGAAGTCAGCGGGCCTCAGCACCAAGCTCACCTGCTGCGACGCGGTTGGATGGACGACTCAGAGCACCTACACAACTAACCTTGTCAATGCCGGGTCAACTCAGTATCTAAGCGTGATCACCTCCCATTCTTACAGCGCAGATGCTACTTCGCCTCTCAGCCAGACATCACTGCCGAAATGGAACACGGAGGGGGGCCCTAGCACGCCGTTTGTCAAGACGTGGTACGGCAATGGAGGGACAAACGAGGGCTTCACGTGGGCCAACAAACTTGCCGTTGCCATGGTCAACGCACAGCTCTCAGCGTATCTGTTCTGGGAAGGCTTCGAGATTCAGCAGTCGCAGTCCGGCAGCCACTTGATCGATGCACTCGACGCGCAGACGGCTACCCCGTCGGGTATCTTTTGGGCATTTGCCATGTGGTCTAGATACATTCGACCAGGCGCTTACAGAGTAGCAACGTCGGGATCCCTTTCCAATGTCATTGTCGGTGCCTTCCAGAACACCGATCACTCCGTTGTCGTCGTCTTCACAAACAGCGGAACGTCCGCGCAGTCGGTCAGAGTGTCGTTCAGCGGCTTCACGCCGACCTCCGCCGCTGCATATGTCACTGATAACAGTCACACCTTCTCAGCCATGTCTGCGGGACTCTCTGGTGGTGCCATCACAGTATCCGTGCCCAGCAGGGGGGTTGTCACGGTGAAGCTGTCTTGATGTCGTTGCGGCATGGCCCGATCGTTTCCTTGGAGACTTGCCGCAAGAGTCAGAGCCGTAGATGCTACTTCCAGCTGCTACCTCTGCACCGATGTTATAAAGCTTTTCTCTAAAAGGCAAGACACACTGCTGTATTACCTACTTCGTACATTGTGGATCCAAAATCCAGGAGTACTGCACAGTTATGTCCTCTTCACATTCCACCTGTAGAAGCAGCGGTCTTTCCTGAGTCTGGACGGATCAAGGGTATAGGTAAGTAGGTTATTGTTACAGAACTTTACCACAGAGACCATGATATGCTTCTCGGGCCTGTATACTCAGAGGACAAGGACAAAGCGAGTAAATCTTAGCTCTTTTCGAATGTAATCTTCGTATTATAGCCCCCATCTAGAATATGCTCGAGGACAGAGTTCGTAACCGTTTCAACAATTTGTTCTTTAACATCACTGTACAATCCACCCTGAGCGAGAAAGTCGACCTGCACTTTCAGTTCGTCGAGTTCTTCGTGCACTTCGAGCAACGCTGTCTCATCAGACTCTATAGCATCAGTGGCCTTTTCACAGCTAGCGCGCAAGTCATCAAGTTCCTCTCTAAGACCCTTGTTCTCTTGTTCCAGGCGCTTAACTCGCTTCGCCAGTTTTTGCATATCCTCGCGCATATGACGTAGCGTATCCCATATGTCACAGTAGCTGTCGACTTCGGATGAAGTACTCGAATCGTCCAATCGACGTCGCTTATTGTTACTGCTTCCGGCCGCAGCCGTCGTATCGGGGGGCAGGAGTTTGGCTTTCGAGGGTGGTTGAATATCATCATCCGGAGGAGGCGGAGGCTCCAGGTCTGCGTATGATGGAGGCTCGTCATTCGGTATGGACGGGCGATCTCGTGGAGAAAGGTCGACAGCCTTTCCCCCTTTACCGCCATACAATGACGCCAAAACGGCTGAAATGTCGGCATTGAATGGTTTTAAGCCGCTTCGAAAGATGGCTTCGCGAACAGCCGTAAGCTTGGCTTGGGAGATCTCTCGAGCCGAGATGTAGATGTCGAGAGCGGAAGATTTGGCTAGCGAGCGTAGAGAATCGAATGTTTCGCCAGACAGTCGCTTTCTTGGTTGAACCGGTTCTGTCGCCGCAGCTGGAGCGATAAGATCGACAGGCTGACAGAGTTCGAAATGCAAACCAATGGCTTGGCAGTTGAGTTTCTTTCGCACAGTCTCCGGAAGTTCTGGGCTCTCATAGTAGTCGAACGAGGTGATGGACGACGTATGGATCAGACAGATGATGTTTGACTGAGCCTCGATACCTTTCACTCGGATGGGGCAATGCAGCTGAAAAGATGCCAAAGAGCTCTCGTTGGTAAAGCGGCTCTCAAACATCACACGGCATCTTTGGGGATCAGGATCGACCAGGCAATGCCTCGTATCGTTCGATACCCACTCTATGCAAGCGGGCGTCTTCACGTCGAAATCAAGACACGGGAACGTCGACAACGTTCGTTCGGGACTAGTTCGCGGCATCCTACATAAGTTTAATGGACAAGACCCAACGTACCAGCTTGAAGGGATCACAGGCAGCAGAGAAAGCGAGTTTCGCAGACAGGCGACTTGTCCAGAGCTCCAGAAGAAACCTGCGAGCTCAGACGAGTCCCTTCCCCCCGGATCTTCCAAGGAAGGATTAAAAATCCCGCTCAGTGGGTAGACAGCAGGACAGCTGGCCAAGGGCGCGAAGGCAATGCTCCGTCTCTGAAGGTACGCACGCGATGAATGGGAAAGATGAGGCAGAATTCGCTCAAAGGAGCAAGCTTCGCAGACAGGCGACTTGCTCAAAGCTCCAGAAAAACCTGCGAGCCGAAGCGAGTCCCTTCTCTCGACCCCGGGTCTTCCAAAAGAGGAGAATAAATCTCGTCCAGTGGGTAGAAATCCGGACAGCTGGTCAAGAGCGCTCAGCCGACTCTTTTGATGGCGACGACGGGTGCGAATGATGAGCTTGATGATAAAGCAGAATGGCGCGCGTCAAAGCGGAGGAAACAAGGAGGCTGGGAGATTGAGACAGCACGTGACTATACGAGCAGGCTACAGCTCATTAGATGGGGCTAGTATTACCAAAGAATTGAATAGCGGTTTATTGCACTAACCTCATTTCGGGCATCTCTGCGTTTGATTAACCGAAGTATAGCCGATGAAGTTTTCAAGTACTTCAGGTACTCAGGTACTTACGCTGTCACGGTCCCGGAGACGACCAAAGCCAATCATGCTAATACTAAGGTACCTTCGTAGTACTGGCACATGCATTCGAGTGGGCGAATTTCTTGCCGGGAGTGAGGTTCAGATGTCTTTGTCTACATTCGAGATAATAAATAGAAAAGTTATTCACTGTGACCAACCTTCATCGAAGGAATGTCTTGGGTGGAATTTCGCACAACCAGTGGAGAAGGGATTGCACGAGAGAGACATTGCGAGGCCTTTGTCGACTGATGGATATCAGCCTGCGTTGGATAATTCTTGTCGAGACGTGTCCGCGGTGCGTGGACATTACCCACAAGAGAGAATTGCTTTCTGGCCTTTCCAGGCGACATTACAACGACATTACAACATCGTGTACCAGGCGTTGTCATAAAAAACGTTTCTATAGCGCCACTCAAGGGTAGTCCATTTTGAGGCTAGAAACCAGGGCCCTTTTACGTCGCTTCTTCTTGACTCTTAGTTCCAATTCGTTCTATGATTGTCGCTATTGTCGGGATGTCATAATGCGATGAGAAGCTTATTTACATGGCACATTTAGATACTACCTTATCAAATAGGTATGTACTGACAATAATCTGCACCTTACATATTTGATATGTATGTACGTTATATGCTTATCTATCTGCTCATCTGGGCCAAGGATCGGCCAACCAGCTTTAGTGAGCCGAACCAACAACATTGCCTTTCTAGGCTCGGAAAAGGAAAATCAGATGGAAAATTCTCCGAGGACGCCTCGCTGTTCCAAATGCGTGTCCAGGTTTTCTGCTTTGATCCCCTGTCTATTCCGTCTCACATGCAGCCTCCACTGACGAGCTCTCAGCCGACAACTCCTCGATAACAATGTACTGGCTGTGTGCTCTGATGCGCCTGCCATACTTATACAGGACCCACGGAACCGGTACCAAGGCCACGGATACGAAGCCCAGCAAACTACTGGCCCATCCTATCCCCAAAGAAGAGAACATCTGCACGGTAAACAGGGGGAACGCGCCACCGCCTGCATACCGAAGAAGGCTATTAGCACTCAGAGCACTAGCGCCGTGGAGCGACCCGTATGAGTTCATGATATAAAGGGCACCGCTGCTGTACACCATGATGTTTCCCACAGCAAACGGAACGGCTGCGATCACAGGGCTCAGCCAGTACACGCCAGCATTGGCTGTCCATCCAAACCAGAAGAGACTGATTGGGTTGAGGGCACAGCCTACCATGGCGCCATAGAGACGATGCTCAGGCGGGACTGCCCCGACACCGTACTTCGCCTCGAGTGTCGGATACGTTCGCCGGTCGATGTAGACGACTGCGAGGAAGCCGATGACGCAACCCAGTGCGACTGAGATAAATGTGAGCCCTTCCTGGCCGGGCGTGAATCCGTATTTGCCGCCAAATACGTAGGGAAAGGCGGCGAAGAAGCTGTAGAAAACAGCAAAATTGAACGCCATGTAGATGGTCATGAAGAGCACGATGGATTCCACAAAGAGCATCTTGAACGGCTTGAGAACGATCCGCTGGATGACGGCGCTCAGAGGGGGGGAATCTGTTGTAGGAGAGGCGTTGGGTTGTTTAAGCGCCTTTGCTCGCCGTTGGAGGATCGTTTTCTTGTAAGTTTCGGGTTGGGGAAGGGCGTAGACATAGTTGAAGGCCACCATGAAGAGTATCACCCATTCGAGCCAGCGGAAACTTTTCTTCTCGCTTACGAAACCGCCGATAACGGGTCCTGGAACAATGATGTCAATCTCAATTCTGCGGTGAGTTGATGGGGAGAGTCTGCCATACCAAAAGCAGGCCCAAGGAAAGGGGAGACGAAGTAGAAAGGATAAACAAATCCTGCGAGAGTCGGCGGCCAGAGGTCTGCATTCGTACCTCCGCCCACCGAAACCACTGCGCTTCCGAAGAAGCCGCCAAAAAAGCGGCAGACGGCCAGAGTGGTGAAATTTTGCGCAAGACCTGAGGCGAGGATGAAGAGCCCGAAAATCGGGACAGTTGTGAGGTATACAATCCTCCGTCCATAATACTCGCTAACGGGCGCCGCGATAATGGCTCCGAGCCCCAGACCCCATAGGAAGAGGGAGAGGCCAAGAAGAGACACTGTATGAGAGGTGCCAAAACGCGAGGATACGTCATCGGCACCGGATGTGTAAACAGAAGAGGCAAAGGACCTGAAAGAGTCAGAGGCCTTCTTTGTCGAACTGTAAGAGAATACTAACACGTTGATGCAAAGCAATGCTGGGATACTGGTCATATAGATCCGCTTCCACATTGGCCAGTTGTATGGACAGTCTGGATCATCAGGTCCATTCCAGTCATTTGATTGAGGTTCTTGCTGTGCATCTCTCTGCGAGCTTTGCGGCAATTCAGATTTGATCACCATGCTTTTCTGTTTGCTCTGCTGTCGGCAGCAGTTGCACAATGGCAACGGTTGCTTGTCGTACTCGTAGAGTTGCGGTTCGTCTTCACGATGGTCCAAGAGGAGGAAACTTGATGAGCCCAGAGGACGAAGGTCTCGCTGTACATGAACGCCAACCGATGAGGCAGAACCTACAAAACTGAATCAAGCTGGAAAACGATACAGGATTAAGGGGGACGTTGAGGAATGCGCAAAAAAAAGCTCCGCTTGCCGCCAACTGGAGCCGCCGGAGAACGAAGTCCGTCACTAACAAGCATCAACACGGAAGCCAACAGCAACTGACTAACACCAGAAATAAGACACTACTAGGAACCTGAATGATTGAGAATAAGTCTCCTGGCAAGCAATGACGCTACTAAAAGTTAGCACAACCTTGAAGCAAGATGGACTTTCACGGTTATATTATTATTATATTTAATTCGCTGGGAGCGGTCATGGAACGTTGTGTAGCACTTCCTACTTTGCACCTTGGAGTAGATGGGCGTAGTGTTCGCAAATCTCTTCACTCGTAGTCGTCGCCACACCTAAGCGTCGTAGAGGTTTATAGAGTGGATACTATTACGTTTGATACGAGAGATCGTATGACGGGGATCCTGACATATTAAGCAGAAGAATCGCGCGATACAGATTATTTACACTATGTAGGAAACATAAGCACCCTGGATTACTGCTTCTCGGCCACGTCAATCAACTCCGGTTTTTGTCCGACGCAGTGCAAAAGCCCTCTTTGAGCACTCGATTGGCACTGATGCCTATTGTCCATGTGGGAAACGCTTAGAAAAGGGTGACAGCAGAACCCCCACGGGCAATGCTGCTTGAACAAGGCCCCCTAGAAAGTATGAAATGCCACCCGCGGGAAGACCTTTGAGGCGAGGAAGAACGATCCATTCCCCTAAGCGCTTAGCATGGTGCCTCGGCGATTACGAGACCGATACGGAGTATGGTGTGCAGCAGACACTGGATGACCATACATATCAACCGCAGCATGATAGTAGAGTGACAACCTCAGATGTCTGTACACGAACTGAGTCAAGGCAGAGTTAGAAAGTCAACCGTTGCGAGCTTTTGTCTATTTCATACAGTGTATGCTGATATTGACCAAATGCCTCTTATAGGATACAAAAACAAAAAAAAAAATTGTAGCTATGTTCATAACATGTGATAAAGGCGGCTTGCGAGGATCGAATACCATGTACTTTACCAATTACTAGTGGAGACATCATCCTTCCTTCGAGATGCAATAGAATGGGCCGATGGCGCGGGCCGGTGAATCACTTCCGAATTCGATCTAGCCCCTGATACACTACTGCTTAGTGCTGATGCTTATTTGATACTACTATGAGCCCTAGGACTTCGGGGGCCTGTAGATGTATGTAGTAGTTGTATTCGTGTTACCTAGTTTAATACTACTGGGCATCAGCAATTTACCGACGGCCAGGACATGCATATACATGAAGGCATGGAGTGCCGACGTAGTATTTCTGTGTGATGGTTTCTCCTTTCTGTTATTCTTGCAGGATGCACACGCTGTTAGGCAAAGTACTAGAACGGAGTAGTTGACGGTGACTTCTTATGCACAAGGTGATATTTCATTAGTATGAACAAAGCCGCCTTTCAGATGCTACGCGAAGTTTCGAGGAAAGAGTTACATGGGACTCCAATATCCCACACCAGTATGTATCCTCGCGTGCATGCCTGCGTCTTTTTGTAGATACGGAGTGTGTAACCGTGTGCAGTTGATCCGTTCTCTACAGGTCTTTAAGATAACTACTAGCAAATACGCATTGTCTTCCGTCCAGCTCCCTTTTGGCACGTCCCCAGTTGACAACTCTGTAACCTCAGAAAATTACAACCCAAAATGACCAAGGATCTCTCACAAATTGCAAGACCACAACAGAATGTGTTGCCTGCGTTCCCATGGCTCGATTATGGTGACCCGCTACCTCATGCGTTATGGATCTGATGCAATGTACAGTTATAGTTGCAACAGAAGCTGTATAGGTACTGTACCTTTTTTCCCGCTTCAGTCCTCTCCACCTTGTTAGGCACTAAGCGCGATTAATATGCACACGAATTCTTCAACCAACAACAGATCTAGGAAGGCATCGTGAATCGATCTAGGTACAGATCTAAATCTGTCATCTACCCGTGTTTCATGCAGATAGGGCATTAACGTCCTGGTGAAGTAGGCAATAAAAGTAAGTCCTCCTTGTGCTATCACTTGTCCAGCAGATATGTATCCTTCGATGATAAATTGGCGCGGATTGACACCACGCTCCGATTATGCCGCGAGTGAGAACTCCGCACAAAGTATCCAGGGTTAGACGCGGCACGCGGCATTCGG